TTTAACCAAGGAACATTTACAATGTTTCAAGATTCTAGCTGTAGTCTACCAGATATTTGAGTTTAATTAATAATTTACCTCATATTTGAGGTTCGCAACACCTGTCTCAGACCGCCCGTTTTTAATCAAATAAAATTTGGTCATGTAAATTTTGATTAGTCTTGCTGTGTCAGTTACATTTTCACATATTCTATATTTTTCCAATTTTGTGTTTTCGGGTTTTCCGAACAATGTATAACAATAATTTTGAAGATCCGATCTAGCCATGTCCGCCTGTCTATTGAATGCTCGATTGGACCCAAATTCACGAACCTCTAGAGAGGGAAAAAAATGTAATGTAATCTATGTATGTATATACTTGACAACGGAAATTTGGTGTCAATTTGGTACCAAGTGTGTATATTTTTTTTCCTCTGTGTACAAGTGTGCCTCCGGAATTCAGTTGAAATAGTCATAATAAATGATTATTCAGTAAAATGTTGCTAGTTTTGTGTATCTAGAACCGTAAAGTATGTTCAAAAATTAAGATTTTGATTAATCGGTTAATTGTTCGTTATGTAAAATGTTCATCAATTTTAATCATAAAAGATAAACTAATCAAACAATGGTCTATCAATTGAATATGAACCAATTCGAATACGCTACCAACTACCGATAACCCTAGCGTACCGATATTGGAGTTGGAATGTCTTCATTCATTCTCAATTTATTCAATCTCCCTTTAATTTATATAAGGAAGTTTAATTTAATGATTTTAAACTTGGCTATTGAACTTTCATAATAAATAAAATATTGTTCAATCCATTTTCCCTTTACTGCAAGAATCGAACTTCTTAGTAAATGATCGATTTCTCAAAACCTTACTACACAAATGGCGGCAAATACTAAGTTAATTTAAAGAAAAACCCCACAGACTCTCCAGAGATCAAAATCTCAAAATAGGGCTTTTTTGATATATAACATGTTTAAAAGATTTCAAAAATGTGAATATTGTCTGAAAAACCGCAGCTTTAAAAACCTTCGCTTATAGTTAGTGAGTTTTATGCATTTGAAATTTCAAAATTTTGTTCTAACCTTTTCCGACTTTTTCTTAAATTTCTGAAAAAAATTTTAGCCGTCTCTCATAAATGTTATGACTATTAGGGTTGTCATTCAAATACAAATTATTCGATTAATCGAGGAAAAAATTTTGTTTTATAATAAAAATTTGGTTTTGCAGCATTAAAAATAAAATGGTTTGTTCTAGTTTTAAAAGTGATATTCGTAAATTTTTTAAATGCATCCAATAAGTAAAACAGATAACATTAATTAATTTGGTTCTTTAAGTATCTGTCTTTTCACAAGATGGACAATAATTTATAAGTATACTGAACCCTGTTTCCTGGCCAAGAAGATACCGGTGATAGACAGAGTGTAACCCTTCATCGAAAATTAAAATGAAGACGTCACATAGAGGATATGATCAAAAAGACACATCGGTGCTGGGCGATTTGTAGGACAACTATAGGCATGAAATGGGGTCTTAGTCCTACTATGACACATTGGTTTTAAAAAAGTGTAATTAGACTAATTCTTCTTCTTTGGACAAAAAATATAATATCAAACTACAACAGGGAGTTCAGCGTACATGCTGCTTGGGTACAAGTGGTGCCATAAGCACAACGTCAAGCAAGGCTCTAGAAACGTTGTTAGATATTCCAGTCAGATAAGATGTGAGGCGGCACTTACAACCAAACGGCTCATAACTTTATATGAACTGGCCAAAAGCGGTTATAGGACACGTTATCAATGTATACTGGACACATTGCAAGGCTATCAACAATCATGAGACGTGCCTGATTGCATTCCAGACACAGCTTTGAACACTGAGACCAGATAGAATGTCTTGATCAAGCGAAACATTTCTAACGAACACTGATTGGGAAATTCTTAGGAATTACGGCCAAGAAACTGAGTTTCGGAACATTGAATAATAGTACATTCAGTGGACAACTATCTTGTTTTTTTTACCAACAAACCATTTTCCTCCATGAAAAGCATTGCATAACAGGACCGATAGTAGTAATATGTTAATTTTAATGGACTACTCGAATGAAAAAAGAAAAATATAGTATAATTTCAAACACGAATAATTGACAACCCTATTGACTATATTTTCAGATATATGTATCTCGAACATATTATTATATTGCTAGGCATAATGCATATTCTGAAAGGTCTTTCGAATATATTTATTTTGATATATACATAATAGGCTTCGTTTCAATAAATAAAATGTTTCCCGTTTTTGTGATATTACAAGTTTTTAGAAGGTTTTTGTATCAGTGATTACTATGCTGTAATAATTTTTTCAAAATTCCATATCTGAGGCGGAAACCACTGATTTTGAGCGACATTTTTTACAGAGCAGAAACTGTAGAATTTATAGGAAATCATGCTCTAATAATTGATTTTATAGGAAAAATCAATAAGAATGAGCTTAATTTCACACTTTTATAATGCTTCAAAAGTGCATTTAGTATTATCCAAAAATGCACTTTTTTCAAAAAATATTTCAAAACATTTTTTCTTTTTTGCATAATCAAAGTATGCTTTTTGCTGAGACAAATGGTGCAAAAACAAACATTTTATCATTAACCCTTTAGATGTGATGAGACTTTAAATTTTCAGATTTTAAATTTTACAACGCTATATTTCGAAAACCACGAAAGTTATAAGGCCAAAAATTTGTCATTATACAAGTTAAATATGGAACATTAATTGGATGGAGTTTTATTAAATTCGGAGATGATGATGAAAAACACCATTGTTTGATGGGAAATTATTAAACCACAAGCCAACATTATAACCATCATAACTCCTAAAGGGATTACAATAAATTAAAAATTTTAACACTATTTTTTTTAAGGGCATTGAATATTATATTTACGAATGATAAAATCAGGTTTTGATTTTTTTTTTTTAATTGCATTTTTTATTTTGCTCTTATGCATTTATAGTGCATCTAAATTCTGTCAAATCAGGTTTATATATCTTAAATTTTCCTGTAGAATAGTATACTTAAGTAAGATTTGAAATATGTATAGCAAAATCGGTATTTTGGCCGCAGATATGCAGATGAAGGAGTTGAAATGTTAACAAAATAATTACGCCAATATTAGCGTTGATCCAAAAACTTTCATAAAAGGTATGATATCACAATTTCAAAAATATTGCGTGAAGCCTAATACATATGTATATCCACATATTGCCTATGTATAACTATACATAACGAGCATAAAACATTATTAAAAATTCTGGAAAAATCATGTTTTTTAGGAATTTTGCTTATATATATCTCCTTTATTTATGATCCGGACAAATTTTGAAACAGATTTTTAACAATTCATATAGTATTTTTGTAGGATAAAATGTGAAAAATTGGAATGTATAAGTTTTTTTCTAAAATAATGGCGAAATATAGAAAAAATTCAATTTTTGTCAATTTATTATTATATTAAGATTTGGTTGAAGGTAACTCGAAGAAGAAAGAAGATATGTCAGATGTTAAGACTTTATTTTAAAGTTGACATAATGGACTTTCAGGTGGCATACAACATTTTATAACGTCTCAAATGGGCCAAAAATGGAGTGTTTTTAAACTACAGGACACGATATCTCAAATCCCAGATGTAATGGAGAAAATCGGTCTGTGTAATTGATTTAAAAAAAAAGTATTTTCTATTACTTTATGGTACAAGTTTCATGCTCCTCCAAATTTCAATAAAATCGATTCAAAGTTTTAGTTTTGATAAGTCTGAAATTCAAAAAATTCTATTTCTATACATTTGCACTCTAAACTAACGTCATTCATTGTAATAATGTATTTAAATAAGATCTTAATCATATACAAAAACAAAACAAAAGCAACCATAATTTGCATACACAAATAAATAAACGACAAAACATTTAATTAAGCAGAACGATCCATAATAGATTTCAAATAGTTTTTGCGACACTTTCACATTTTTAAGCAAATATGTATGTTTTTTGCTTTTCAAGTAGCATTTAATGAATGAAGTGCTTTGTATAAAAAAGTACACAAATATTTTACACAGATTATAGATAAGAATAACGAGAGAGCACTCGTCATTTGTAACAACACAGCAATTACAAAAAGAAATCTTTACAAACGTTATTCTAACATTGGAAATAATACTAAATTCTAAAGCAGCTGTTAGTTAAAAAACAACAATGTCGAGTAGAGCGAGCGAGGAGTAAGTTAAGGCAAGCATCCTTTTCTTTATATTTATTGTTATTTTAGTTTAGAATTCATTTATAAATTCATTCTATTTTATTAATTGTTTGCCAATAACAACAAAATTTCATATAAAACAGACAACAATATCTAATGATTGTTGTTGTTGTTTGTTTGTATCCCTAATCTCAAGTGGTTTTTTTCAAAACTGTGTAGTATTTGAAAATGGATTGAAATGAAATGAAAAAAATACGTTACATTTTATGTCGATCTGTATTTATTTATTTTTATTAAATGACTGACTATATTATAAATGATGCGTTTTATTTACAATAACAAAATTACAATTTCTTTTTTATAAATTTGCTTAAGGAATATTTAATATTTAAGTGTTTTAATACTATTTATTTAAATATTTACTATTAAGCAAATACTTGTAGTTGTTTTTTTTTTTTCTGTTTAAATAAAATTATTGTTTAGGCACATTATTTATTTAATAATAAATTTAAATATTAATTAAAACTATATAAGGTACTATAATTATTTTAAGGATTTTGGAAATTATTTATTTGCAAATTTACTTAATTACAAAAATGACTAAAAAAATACTTTAAAAATTGTACTACAAAAATTAAACAAAAAATCAAAAAAATAAAAATAATAAATATTTTAAATATAAAAAAATTAAAAGAAACAAAATGAATAAAATAAAAGAAAATTAAAAAAAAAAGTATTTTTAAATATAAACTTAATAAATTCAATTCTACAGCTGCTGCTGATGAGCCAAATGATGATGATGATGACTATGGAGCTGTGATTGCTGCTGATGTTGTTGTTGTTGTCCCGACATTAAATGTCCTTGTGCTGCTGCCGAGTGTTGTAGCGGATTACCCCACATTGCTACATTTTGAGGCATTATTTCTGATTTAATTTTCATCACTGCTGCTGGTCCTTCTCCTTCGATTTCTCCACGTTTCGATTTATAGCGTCGATTTTGAAACCAAATTTTTACTTGTGTTGGTGATAGATTTAGTTTTTGCGCTATAATTTCTCTTTCGGCTCCAGTTAGATATTTTTTCAAACGAAATCTGCATTCCAGTTCTAGAACTTGAGCTTGTGAGAAGAGTACACGGGGCTTGCGTTTGGAGCGGGGTTTACCATTTTTACGTAGTTCCGATTTGGATGATGTTACCAGGGAGATATCTTCTGTAAAGATAGAAAAAGGAATAATGGTATAATTAATAAAAAGTTTTAGAGTATTTTAAAAGAATTTAGGAAAATAGTAAGAATATGATTTGATCTGAAAGATTACAATAGTACAAAAATACTTACTCTTCTTATTGATATCCTGTTGTCTTGAGAGCAGAGATCCTTGTTCATACAACTGGGCCGTTGTCAAACCTGTAGAAATATTTCTTAAAGAATTGGAATTATTGGCAGTTTCCATTAAACTATGCATGGCGGTTTGATTACTCAACGGTGACTTCTTTTGAGCCGATGAAGGCGTATTATTGACATCCACCTCTGTTGAACTATTGAGATCCAAAGTAGGCGAGGGTGTTACATAGGGGGTGGGTACATATTCATTTTTAACACTAGATGATTGTGATAAATCCATGTGTGTAGAGGCGGTGTTAGAGGCATGTGTTAGGGAAGAAGGGCATTGTTGGGCAGCTGGATTAGGGGGATTGTAAGCATCATAACCGGCGGCATTGTAATAAAGTGACTGTGAGGAGGCAGTTTGGGCTGCTGGATAACCGGGTGGCTGATATGTGGCTGTTGAAGGCATATAATACTGATTGTAACCTTGATAGGATTGATGAGTTGGCGGAGTAGCTGCCGCCGCTGCGGCTGCTGCTGCATGATGATGAGGATGATGATGGTGATGAGGTGCTGGAGGCATGTGAGTATGCAAGGGTGCTGTATAATCCTGATAAGCGGGATAGAATTGTGCTGCCGCTGCTGCTGCATTGGGTGGTATATGATGACCATGTGTTACCATACTGCTTAAGGGGTTTTGAGCTTCATAAACACGTGCGTCATACTCAGCAGCATAAGCAGAGGACAAAGCTTGTGAGGTACTGAAAAAACAACAAGAAAAGAAAATAAAATACTTAGAAAAAAAAAACAAATACAACTCCTATTTTTGTAAAAATAGTCATATGTTTATAGGTAGGTGGCATTATTTAGAATATCCTTTACTTCCTACTGGGCGCTCATGCTACAAATTAAATCCATACACATGTGTATTTATAGGTTGCATAAGCGCCCACATATGTTGTCCATCTACTCTTAAAGAAAGTCTTTTGCAAAATTTTAAAATTTACAATTTTTTTCTGTATTTTATCTCTTACTGTGACATCATTTCATGGTTCATTAACAGTCGTTATTTAAAAATAAAATTGAAACTACGAAATACACAACAAAAACAATCTTTCAGCCATTCATTCTCTCATTCAGAGTCACACATATTGGTTTTTTAAAAAAACTGTGAAACGTAACTTTCTTATGACCGTCAAATCGTGTCGGACAGACTGATATAAACTATTTACACACATGTTAAACAGTTGAAAAACAGCAACATACGATTGAATATTTTGAGTATTTTAAATAAAAACTGGTCATCTTGTGTTTTTTTTTTTTTTTTTATTTTTGATATTTTTAATATATTTTTTTTTGGAATATTGTGTGTGTGTCTTTTTTGGAATTGAATGACTACTACCTTCGGCGCCCAATGTTATTTTAATATTATAAATACACACAGGGTCGTATGTTTAGGGGGCATGTGGTTTTTTGTTGATTTTGTTTTATTATTTTCTTTTCCTTTTAAGTTTTTCAGTTTCTAAACATATTTTTTGTTTTAACATAATGAAACTTCTTTACTTACTGCTTTTCAATAAAAAAAGCTCTTTTATAATATTAAGAAGCTTAACGAAACATATTTTTATATAACAACAATTTAAATAAAGCTTTTTAATATTCATTTAGAACAAGTTTTGTTTTCTAAACTAATAAAGTCCTTTTGATTTAGCTTTTTTTATTATGAAACTTTACCTTTTAATGATTTATAAAACTTAACGAAAATTTTGTTTTAAGATAAAAAGCTTTTAAAGGGTAGTTTTTTTTCTGTCTTATTCATCCAGCATATCAAAAACAATTTCTAAATTTTAGACAATTACTATTTAGGATAATCTACAAAACAATCTTCATATTTTTAGCCATTTTTAAAACTTAACGAAACTTTATTTTCTAAACCAAAAAGCTGTTTAAAACAAATTTCGCTATATTCGTGTAATATTATCAATCTTATTATTATGTTTGAAGTAGTTTTTCAGTTTTGCTAATTTTTAAAACTTAACGAAACTTTATTTTCTAATCCAAAAAGTTTTTTAAACAAAACTATGCTGTATTAGTTTAATATTATTAGGCTAAATACTATATTGGGTATTATTCTTAATTCCTATCAACTTTTAAAACTTAACGAAACTTTATTTTCAAAACCATACATTCTTTAGAAAAGATTTTTTAATATTCCTATAATATATGAAAACTATTATTAAAAATCCATAAAATTTTCTACTTTTTGAAGATTTATAAAACTTAACGAAACTTTATTTTCTAAACCAAAAAGCTTTTTAAACGAAACTTTGCTATATTCGTTTAATATTATCGGGTTTAATACAATATTGTATGTTATTCTACATTTCTACCGATTTTTAAAACTTAACTAAACTTTATTTTTGAAGCTATAGGTTTTATAGAAAATATTTTATTATATTCGTATAATATATGAAGACTATTATTAAATTCCATAAAATGTTCTACTTTTTGAGGATTTATAAAACTTAACGAAACTTTATTTTCTAAACCAAAGGCTTTTTATAGGAATTTTTTCTATATTCATTCAATACCCATAAAGCTGATTATTATGTTTGAAGTTATTTTTGAGATTTGTTAATTTTTAAAACTTAACGAAACTTTATTTTCTAAACCAAATGCTTTTTAAAGGTAAATTTTCCAAATTCGTTAAATATCATAATGATAGTTATTATATTTGTAGTTATTTTTGAGTTTCGCAAACTTTTAAAACTCAACGAAACTTTTTTTTTTGAAACCATAGATTTTATAGTGAAGAATTTATTATATTCTTATAATGTATGAAATATACTTTTAGAATACATAACATTTTTAACATTCTGAAGACTTTTAAAACTTAACGAAACTTGATTTGCTACAACGCAAACTTCTAATTAATGATTTTACTATATTTCTAGGTTAATTAAAAATAAAATTTAGAAAATTATGAGATTTTAACTCATTTATAAAACTTAACGAATCATTAAGCAGTTGAATGATTTTAACTAAATCCACAAAGTTTTCTTAATGTGGTGGATTTTTATTTAAACTTAACGAAACTTAACTGTAGTTTCTTTAGCAAAAGCTAGAGAATGTTGAAATTACGAAAAATAACTTTCGTTTAAGAAAATTCTAGAAAAATTTCTGGCAATTGCATAAAAAATTTGCCTTTTTGCGCTTAAACTAATGCTCACGAGTGTATTTTCTTATTTTTGGTAATGTTTATCTAATGCTTCGTGTTTTTTTTTTTTTCATCTTCTTCATTTTCATTTAAAGATCATCATGAAATTATAATTCTCTCATAATGATTTGACAAAAATTATTAAAAGTAAACATTTCAAACAAAAATAAACGTAGATCTGGTACGAATATATATATAAAAAAAAAGTAAATAAATGCTGTGTATCTCATGTATCTAATTTTTTTTCTCAACTTTTTTTTTTTTTTGACTGACTGACTGACAAACTGACATCCTTTCTCCTCAGTCATATTATAGTAAATATAACTGAGTTTGTGACGCTGTGTGTTTTTTTTTTTTTTTTTTCACAAAATGATGTGTTAGTTTGCCTGTCATCATGTTTTTATAGGATTTCATATTTTTTTGTTATTATTATTATTATTATTTTTGAATATTTTTTGAAAAAAAAGTCTTTCTTTTAAAGCAAATAATATTATTCTTTGGAATTTTGTGTGTCTCTTCTGGTTCTTCATGTTTTTTCATCTTTTTGAAAACCTGAAAATGACAGTCTGTGTCTGTCTACTTGTTGTTTTTGTTTTATGGTGTTGCATTGTCTTTTTCAGTTCAAAAATAAGTAAAAAAACGTTAGAAAAAAAGGCGTTATTATGAGTAAATAAGAAAATAACAAGATCATCTGGGTCTTAAAGAAAAATTATATAAACAATAATTTGTTTTTATGATTTGTATGCAGTCGTGTTATTATTATATATTTTATCCAGTGGTTTACCATTAAGATAAATATTAACTTTTTGAGTAGATTTATTGGGAAAGACAATAGAGTGTGTATTGTTTTCTTATTAATTGTTTTAAATGTGATACCTCCCAGTAAAGAAGTTGAAATTATTTCAACACTCATTATCTTGTATTTTATTTCCTAGAAAAATGTCACAGTTTTCATTTTGGAGGGCCTAAGATGAACCACAAACATCCAAAAATTGCAGTTCTTTAAGAGTATCTAGTAAGTATGTAATTAAATACTCATACAAGGATACTGTTTTTAAGTCTTTCATTTATCTTGGTATTCATAAACAATTAAAACAAAGTTATCAATGGATACGAATCATAACTAGATTTATACATAATTCTAAAAAGTTTTAATAAACTGAATCTGTTAGAAAACTGATGACACAATAATTATTTTTAAACAAAGATCTCTTCGCGCTGTTATAGCGTCTCAAATATAGCCAAAACAGTGGTTTTTTTATTGTATCTTTATGAAACAATATCTCGAAAACCTGAACAAAGTATATTTTGATCTTTTTAAAATTTTGTTGGCCAGTGTTATTTTTCAAACTAGACCACGCAATATCTCCCGATTTTGACCCAAATTTTCAGAACGGAGTATGCCACTAGATTCTACGACCACCCAAAATTAAGTGTCTCGGCGTTTTTCTGTGTCTTTTTGACATACTTACAGCGTAATTAATTAATATTTTTGTACTGCAAATAACAAACCAATAATGCAGAATTTATAAAAATCTTGTATTTTTCTTAAAAAAATTTTATATTAAGAAAATCTTCAAAATAATAAATTTATACAGAGGTCAAAGGTCAAATTTATTAAAAATATTTTTATTTCACACAATTTTGGAATTTTTAAAAGAGTTTACAGAAAACGAGAAATTAATAAAATCTATATAGAGGTCAAAGGTTAATCTTGTATTTTCCATAATGAAACTTTCTTTAGAAAATCATAATGAATATTTAAAAAATGATTTTACAACTAAGAAAATTAATTAATCAAATAATTTAACTGGGTTAACGTAATTAAAACAAGTAAGAATGTATAGTCGGGCATGGCCGACCATAAGATAGATACCCTACATCAGTGCGTATGTTAAAAATATGGATTATTTTTCTAATAATAAAGCATGTTTTCTTAATTCCGAAATATTTTAATAATTTGTTAGCCAAAAAAAGTGATTTTCTAAAATAGGGGTTATATGGGATCAAAGGTAAATATGGTACTATCCGTACAAATTTTGGTAGAGGCCCTATATTACTACGAAAATCGGCAGTATCATTTAAACTTATAAAAAAAACTAAGATTTGCCGATTTTTGTAGAGATTCTACAAGATTTAAAATTATTATAGCTCAAAAGCCTTATTCGGGGGGTACGGTAATATGGGGGCTAAACGAAATAATATACCAATTTCCATTATTTCGCCTAGCCATTTTCAATAGGCTTCTTCAAAAGTCAAAAGGAGAGTATGTGCCAAATTTCATCACAATATCTTGAAAATTGCAACCTGTAGCGTGCACACAAGGTTTACATGGACACACAGAACGAATGGACAGACGGACGGCTTAATCGACTCAGAAAGTGTGGTGTGCTTTAGGGTCAAATGAGGCCTTATGATTACGAAAATCAGCAGTATCATTTAAACTTATATAAAACTAAGATTTGCCGATTTTTGTAGAGATTTTACAAGATTTAATATATTATAAGCTCAAAAGACCTATACGGGGGTACGGTTGTATGGGGACTAGGCGAAATAATGGACCGATTTTAACCATTTCAATAGGATTCGTCCTTGGGTCAAAAGAAGATTTTGTGCCAAATTTCATTAAAATATCTTGAAAATTGCGACCTGTAGCGTGCGCACAAGGTTTACATGGACACACAGAAGGACAGATGGATGGACAAACGGACGGACATAGCTTAATCCACTCAGAAAGTGATTCTAAACAGATTGGTGTAGTACCAATATTTTTAGATGTTACTATAGTGATGTAGGGTATAAATATTATTGATAAAAGAAATACAATTTGCTGGAGTAATTCCATCATCATGAACATAACTTTATTAACAATATTTATACTGAGGTTAAAGGTCCAATTTGTTAAAATTTAGTAAATATTTGTAAAGTTTTAAATTTTTATTAATTAGAATCCTAAAAGTGGAATTTTTTGGTAAAATTACTTATCAACTTGGACTTTAATAAAAGTTTATAACAGAACAACAAGAATTTCGTTAAATGTTTAAGGCCGTTTTTACACAGTCCCCTCCCCTAAGGGTAGAAATTATACTTAAGCTTTGAAAATTATATGAAATTTTTGGGTAAACTGTAAAAGCGGACCTATTTACATTAACTTTTCATAAAATAAAATTAAAGATGAAGCAGCCTATTTTGTAAAACTTCCGGGTCAAAGGTCCAAAATTTTTGGGAAAAATTGTTTAAACATTATTATATATTATATTCGATAAAGACGGATCAAACATCGTATATCGATATTAATATAAAAATAATGGTGATTTTCGAAAGACAGACTTTTTATGAGGACTTGGACTCTGCGGAATTCAATAAAGTGATTAATTTCTAATGACAAATAATTTTTGCATTAATGTGATTTTAACAATAATTTTTTGTAAAAGGTGGAGTGAGGGTCTATTATGGACCGATTTTATTTAATTTTGAAGAAAGATACATATTATTTTTGTAATCTAAGCCAGTTTTATTATAAACGTTAAAGTCATTTCCTGAAGGGGACCTTATACGGGGCTATGTATGGTTACATGTGGACAGATTTTGACCGTTTTTAATATTAAGCTAACTCTATCAAGCCCTCTTTAGCTCTTCCCGTTTTAGGCCATTCGAGTTCCAACATACGAAAGACGGCATACATAGCTAGATCTCCTTAGAATCTAATAAGACGCAGATTATATGTGTATATGTATTTACTTTTGTAGATCTACTACCAAAATTATATTAAAGTACCTGAAGTTTATGTTGCAAATATTTATCTTTTTGACAATGTTTAAGAAAACATGAACTTAATTTGATCCCAAACAAATTTTAATTAAAATAACATATAGAAAAAGCATAAATAGTACAAAAAGCCGTTACAAAATTAACTAATAAAGAAAATTGTCCAAAAAGAACATCTTCTAAAATAATTTAAAAAAGAAATAAAACTAATCTCACACACACACACTTACCTTTCTAAAGATCCATATTCGTAGCCGTCGTTTTGATTAACCATATTTAAAATATCCTTAACTGAAAATGGTGTTGTGTTTAATGAATCTGTATTGGTCATACTCCCAGGACTAGGTTGATTATAATCATAATAACCTTGAGATACTTGTGATGATTGCTGTTGATGTTGTAACATGTTATTTATTTATTTATTTATTATTTTTATTATTTATTGTTTGTTTTTTATGTATAATTCAGAATTTTATTTAATATTGCTTGTTTATTTTCTTTTCTTTATACTTGTTATTAAATATCAATCAAAATTGATTAATAATTAATTAAACAAGAGACACTTAAAAAATCCACTCAACATTTGTGTAAAATAAAACAAACAAAAAAAATTATTATAAAAACCACTAAAAACTCACTTAAGAATGAGACCAACCAACAACAAACAATCACTTTCACTTGAAAATTTTTGCACTTGCGCGATTCTTTGCGATTCAATTGTTATAATTGTTTTTTTTTTATTATTATTATTCTAATTGTCAACTTAAAAAACAGCGTGTTGTTTGTTATAGAAAAGAAATACAATAAAACTCAAACTTAAAAGAAATAAAGAAAGAAACACAACGCGTGCGTGTGTACAATTTGTCAGCACATCGAAACAACTGATTGAGAAATTCCTTAGCACAAGAAAGAATGCTTGTTAATTAATTAACTGTAAAAGGCTGGACTAACAACAGAAACCGAACCGAACGAAACTCATATTCATTCAAGACAACAAAACACACACAAAATTCACATAATAAAACCCATATGTACCGGTACCCACCCTCAAATAAATTACAAAAACAAAATGAATGGAATAAACAGTTAGTTCCCATTCATAGCAACAACAACCAACCATATTGTATTTGTTTCTCGTTTGCTGTACAGCAGAGTGTGTGTGTGTTAAAACAGGAAAACAGACAAGAAAAAAATGGCTGACAAATAATGAACAACCAATTACGTTTCAAATATGTATGTTTGTATGCATGTGTGTATATTTTTTCTCTCTTAAAATAATTTAGAGGAAATTTAAAATCATCTCTTTCCTCTCTCTCTCTTGTTGTTTTATTTGTTAACCCGGAAAAGGAAACGGAGATGCGAAAAAATGTACGTCATTATTATCTGCAAATAAAAGTAATTAATTAAACAAGTAAGAGAGTGTGATATTTTCGACTATACCGAATCATATCATATATGTACCCACATCAAACTGTATGCCGTAAATAAATGCTCCCATATAAACATTAATTAGGTATATATTTGAAATTCGAATTTTAGCGCTACTCTATTCAAGCCAGTAAGTAGTGAGCGTTAAAGTCATTTTCTGAGGTGGACCTTCTTATATGGGGAGTAGGGTAAATTATGGACCGATCCTCATAAAATTCTGTATATAGATTTTGGATCATATATATGATCCAAATCATAAACTTGCATTAACATTAATTTTTTTTAATGTAGAAAAAATTGTTAATGCATTAACACATTTAATGCATTTATCCCAGGTCTGTTCAATAGTCTCTATCTAAAATAATACAAGTTTTCAGGAGAGCAAAAAAACTGTTATTTCGCTAGTTCGTGAAGATTTTTTAATTTTTTCTTTTACAATATATTTTTACGACCATATTCTAAACCATTATATAAAAAGAATTTTAATTTTTGCATTATTTACAAAATTATTCACAAATTTATATCAGATAGAGCTTATTTTTCTACGAAAATGTTCATTCAACCAACAGATAGAGAGTTTTTTTTCATGGAAACATAAAATTTTTATTTGAATTAAAATCAATAAATATTATATTTTATACAATTTAATGGAGGAAAAGAAACCAAATTGTTGAAAAAGCAACAGATTATAATGTTTTGGTCCAAAATCAATGTTAGTTATATGGTTAAAAACACGACAATAAAGTTGATTTAATTAGTATCATAATGAGCGATATCTCAAAAACTATTAGACCGATTTTAAATATTTTGACGGATTTGTGTTCAGCATGTCCAAATTATTAAGAAGACTTGTTTGTTTTGCAACAGAAAATTATCCAAAGGGATCGAGTTTGAAGCAATTTTTGGATAAGATAAGATAGAGAGTTTTGCATTCAGAATTTTTCTTTTTTTAAGATAGAGAAATTTAAAAAATGCTATAAAATTGCCAAAAAATATTTTTTTTTTCTTTGAAATTTATATCACTGATGCGCGATAGATAGTTTGCTGAATATTTTGCCATCAAAATCTCATTTTCATAAAAATGAGAGATAGCGACTATTGAATATAGTCCCTCGATATATACTTTTGTGGGTCTATCTATGATCAATATTTCGATGTGTTACAAACGGAATAATGACAAAATTAATATACCCCCATATTTTTTGATGGAGGGTATAAAAACAAGTAAGTTAAAAAAATCTGCTTGCTACATTCGGCTGTGCCGAATTTATTAGATAAGTAAAATTGTGTGTGTTGTGTTAATTAAATTCAAGATATTTTTTCACCTTCATCTTAGTGAGAAGGGTTATTTTATTACATATATAATAAATAAGTTTACCATTCCGTTTGTAATTAATTCTATAATATAATTCTATATAATCTACAATATAATTTTCTCACCCTATTATAAAGTATGAAATTTACGATATTTGGAATTTACGATATTTGGAAATTTACGATATTTGGAAATTTACGATATTTGAAAATTTACGATATTTGAAAATTTACGATATTTGAAAATTTACGATATTTGAAAATTACGATATTTGGAAAATTACGATATTTGAAAAATTTACGATATTTGAAAATTTACGATATTTGAAAATTTACGATATTTGAAATTTACGATATTTGGAAAATTACGATATTTGTAAAATTACGATATTTAGAAAATTTACGATATTTCAAAATTACGATATTTGAAAAAATTACGATATTTAAAAATTTACGATATTTGAAAATTTACGATATTTGGAAATTACGATATTTGTTGCAATTTACGATATTTGAAAATTTACGATATTTGAAAAATTACGACGATATTTGAAAATTTACGATATTTGAAACTTTACGATATTTGAAATTTACGATATTCGAAAAATTACGATATTTTTGAAAATTACGATTTTTTAAAAATTTACGATATTTGGAAGGAAATTTACGATATTTGAAAATTTACGATATTTGAAAAATTACGATATTTGAAAATTTACGATTTTTGGAAAATTACGATATTTGAAAAATTACGATATTTGTTGCAATTTACGATATTTGAAAAATTACGATATTTGAAAAAATTACGATATTTGAAAAATTACGATATTTGAAAATTTACGATATTTGAAAATTTACGATATTTGAAAATTTACGATATTTGAAAATTACGATATTTGAAAAATTTACGATATTTGAAAAATTTACGATATTTGAAAATTTACGATATTTGAAAATTACGATATTTGGAAAATATATATATATATATATTTGGAAAATATATAAATATATATATATATATATTTGGAAAATATATAAATATATATATATATATATTACGATATTTGAAAAATTTACGATATTTGAAAAATTTACGATATTTGAAAATTTACGATATTTGAAAATTACGATATTTGGAAAATATATATATATATATATTTAATATATATATTTAAAATATCTATCGTCGTCTCCCCCAAACCTCCTTTTTCCGTCCCCCATTCCTTTCCTTCTTCTCCTTCCTTCATTCAGTCGCGCATTTTTTCTCCAACAAACACGAACGAAGAAAGAAACAGAACGAACTGAATGAAATTTACCGATATTTGAAAAATTACGATGTTTGATAGAAGATAATTTACGATATTTGAAAATTTATGATATTTGAAAAATTACACGATATTTTGAAAATTTACGATATTCGAAAAATTACGATATTTTTGAAAATTACGATTTTTTAAAAATTTACGATCTTTGGAAGGAAACTTACGATATTTGAAAATTTACGATATTTGAAAAATTACGATATTTCGGATATTTACGATATTTGAAAATTTACGATATTTGAAAAATTTACGATATTTGAAAATTTACGATATTTAAAAAATTTACGATATTTGGAAATTTACGATATTTGGAAATTACGATATTTGGAAATTTACGATATTTGAAAATTTACGATATTTGAAAATTTACGATATTTGAAAATTTACGATTTTTGGAAATTACGATATTTAAAAATTTACGATATTTGAAAATTTACGATATTTGGAAATTTACGATATTTGAAAATTTACGATATTTGAAATTTACGATATTTGGAAATTTACGATATTTGAAATTTACGATATTTGAAAAATTTACGATATTTGGAAAATTTACGATATTTGAAAATTTACGATATTTGAAAAATTTACGATATTTGAAATTTACGATATTTGGAAAATTACGATATTTGAAAAATTACGATATTTGTTGCAATTTACGATATTTGAAAAATTACGATATTTGAAAAAATTACGATATTTGAAAAATTACGATATTTGAAAATTACGATATTTGAAAAATTACGATATTTGAAAATTTACGATTTTTGGAAAATTTCGATATTTTGAAAATTTACGATATTCGAAAAATTTACGATATTTGGAAATTTACGATATTTGAAAATTTACGATATTTGAAAATTACCGATATTTGGAAAATTTACGATATTTGGAAAATTTACGATATTTGGAAATTTACGATATTTGAAAATTTACGATATTTGGAAATTACGATATTTGTTGCAATTTACGATATTTGAAAATTTACGATATTTGAAAAATTACGACGATATTTGAAAATTTACGATATTTGAAAATTTACGATATTTGAAAATTTACGATATTTGAAATTTACGATATTCGAAAAATTACGATATTTTTGAAAATTACGATTTTTTAAAAATTTACGATATTTGGAAGGAAATTTACGATATTTGAAAATTTACGATATTTGAAAAATTACGATATTTGAAAATTTACGATTTTTGGAAAATTACGATATTTGAAAAATTACGATATTTGTTGCAATTTACGATATTTGAAAAATTACGATATTTGAAAAAATTACGATATTTGAAAAATTACGATATTTGAAAATTACGATATTTGAAAAATTACGATATTTGAAAATTTACGATATTTGAAAATTTACGATATTTGAAAATTACGATATTTGAAAAATTTACGATATTTGAAAAATTTACGATATTTGAAAATTTACGATATTTGAAAATTACGATATTTGGAAAATTTACGATATTTGAAAATTTACGATATTTGAAAAATTTACGATATTTGAAAAATTTACGATATTTGAAAATTTACGATATTTGAAAATTTACGATACTTGAAAATTACGATATTTGGAAAATTTACGATATTTGGAAATTTACGATATTTGAAAATTACGATATTTGGAAAATTTACGATATTTGAAAATTTACGATATTTGAAAAATTTACGATATTTGAAATTTACGATATTTGAAAAATTTACGATATTTGAAAAATTTACGATATTTGAAAATTTACGATATTTGAAAATTTACGATATTTGAAAATTACCGATATTTGGAAAATTTACGATATTTGGAAATTTACGATATTTGAAAATTTACGATATTGGAAATTACGATATTTGTTGCAATTTACGATATTTGAAAATTTACGATATTTGAAAAATTACGACGATATTTGAAAATTTACGATATTTGAAAATTTACGATATTTGAAAATTTACGATATTTGAAAATTACGATATTTGGAAAATTTACGATATTTGGAAATTTACGATATTTGAAAATTTACGATATTTGGAAATTACGATATTTGTTGCAATTTACGATATTTGAAAATTTACGATATTTGAAAAAATTACGATATTTGGAAAATACGATCGATATTTGAAAATTTACGATATTTGAAAATTTACGATATTTGAAAATTACGATATTTGGGAAATTACGACGATATTTGAAAATTTACGATATTTGAAAATTTACGATATTTGAGAAAATTTACGATATTTGGAAAATTACGATATTTTGAAAATTTACGATATTTGGAAATTTACGATATTTGAAAATTTACGATATTTGAAAAATTACGATATTTGGAAATTACGATATTTAAAAATTTACGATATTTGTTGCAATTTACGATATTTGAAAATTTACGATATTTGAAAAATTACGATATTTGAAAATTTACGATTTTTGGAAAATTACGATATTTGAAAAATTACGATATTTGTTGCAATTTACGATATTTGAAAAATTACGATATTTGAAAAAATTACGATATTTGAAAAATTACGATATTTGAAAATTACGATATTTGAAAAATTACGATATTTGAAAATTTACGATTTTTGGAAAATTACGATATTTTGAAAATTTACGATATTCGAAAAATTTACGATATTTGGAAATTTACGATATTTGAAAATTTAAGATATTTGAAAATTTACGATATTTGAAAATTTACGATATTTTGAAAATTTACGGATATTCGAAAAATTTACGATATTTGGAAATTTACGATATTTTTTTAAATTTACGACGATATTTGAAAATTACGATTTTGAAAAATTTACGATATTTGAAAAATTTACGATATTTGGAAGGAAAAATTACGATATTTTGAAAATTTACGACGATATTCGAAAAATTTACGATATTTGGAAATTTACGATATTTGGAAATTTACGATATTTGAAAATTTACGATATTTGGAAAATTTACGATATTTGGAAATTTACGATATTTGAAAAATTTACGATATTTGAAAATTTACGATATTTGAAAATTTTACGATATTTGAAAATTTACGATATTTGAAAATTTTACGATATTTGAAAATTTACGATGTTTGGAAGGAAAATTACGATATTTTGAAAATTTACGACGATATTCGAAAAATTTACGATATTTGGAAATTTACGATATTTGGAAATTTACGATATTTGAAAATTTACGATATTTGGAAAATTTACGATATTTGGAAATTTACGATATTTGAAAAATTTACGATATTTGAAAATTTACGATATTTGAAAATTTTACGATATTTGAAAATTTACGATATTTGAAAATTTTACGATATTTGAAAATTTACGATGTTTGGAAGGAAAATTACGATATTTTGAAAATTTACGACGATATTCGAAAAATTTACGATATTTGGAAATTTACGATATTTGGAAATTTACGATATTTGAAAATTTACGATATTTGGAAAATTTACGATATTTGGAAAATTTACGATATTTGAAAAATTTACGATATTTGAAAAATTTACGATATTTGAAAAATTACGATATTTGAAATTTACGATATTTGAAAATTACGATATTTGGAAAATTACGATATTTGAAAAATTACGATATTTGAAAAATTTACGATATTTGAAAAATTTACGATATTTGGAAATTTACGATATTTAAAAATTTACGATATTTGAAAAATTTACGATATTTGAAAAATTACGATATTTGGAAAATTACGATATTTGGAAAATTACGATATTTGAAATTTACGATATTTGAAAAAATTACGATATTTGAAAAATTTACGATATTTGAAAAATTTACGATATTTGAAAATTTACGATATTTGAAAAATTTACGATATTTGAAAATTTACGGATATTTGAAAAATTTACGATATTTGAAAAAAATTACGATATTTGAAAATTTACGATATTTGAAAGAAAAATTCGGTGGTATTTTCCGTTTTTACGACGGAATTCGAAAATTCGAGATTTTTTTCTCCATTTTTTTGTTGCATCAAAAAATAAAAAATGGTGGGGGGTGGTGGGGTGTGCGTCTTTTTGTTGTTGTTGTGTGTGTGTGTATTTTTTTACCAACCACAACAACCACCCACCACCCCCCACCAATCAAAAAACGCATACAAAGTCGGCCATCGCAAAAATCCACCAATCACAGCGAAGCGCATTTTTTTAAAAAGTGCTGCATACTTTTGGGGTGCGAAATTGCAATGACCTTGAATTATTTGGAATAACGGTTTTTGTGGTGAATTTCTTTTTTATTCACCTCGGTAGGGGAAATTCACCACGGTTGGAGAAACTCACCACGATTTTTATATTCACCACACCTGCAAATCAAAGGGGAAAAAAATAAAAAAAGGCGGCCAGGCGAGGCGGGCGGACCCAGCCGCTCCGCCCACTCCATAAATTTTTTTCCCTCCCCCCACAGAATCCGACGAAGTTCTTTTCTTTTCCGTCCGTCGTCCATGTCGGGTCCTGGAATCGTCGTCGTCCGTGGTGGTGGTCGTCGGTCGGCTTTTTTTGTTTTTTTTCTTTTGTATTATCGCCGTCTTTTTTTTATTTTTTTCATCTTTTTCTTTTGTTTTTTTTTCCCCCTTTTTTTTTTTCTTTTCTTTTTTTTTACACACCACACCCAGCCACGTACGTCGTCGTAGAGCCGAAGTAAAACCGTACGTACGTACACGTACGCAACACACACATTTTTTTTCTACTACAACAACTTTGGGTTCTATATATATACGAAACTTTTAAGAAAAAAGAATGTGGGAATTACAAAAACGGAATTTTTCATAAAATTATCGGCGATTTATCGGCCGTTTACCATCACTAACTCTAATTCTACTACGTTTTTTATCAACTCTGTGCCTGTGTGTAGCAGTGTTACCATTTTGGTGCTTTTTTTTCTAGCGATTTTTTAAGCAAAAAAACAGCGGAATTTTAGGGTTGCCGTTGTTTTTAAACGAAATTTTTAAATAAAAAAGAAAAAATACAAAAATAAAAGACGGACGACCCCCGGAAACCGATTTGGTATCGTATTTCATATATCGTCGTCGTTGTCTGTCCGTCTATCTATCCATCATCATCCATCATAAAAATTGAACAAAAAAATCTAATTTTTTATAAGACCTCCTAAAGAAAGAAAGGTCTGTGTGTCTCCTGTCTGTCTGTCGTCCTTTTTTACCCTACACCACTTTAGTGGAGAGGGGGTATGTATTATTTATTATTTTATTGGGTTTGTTGTGCTGATTTTGTAACGTACGTACAATAATAAATAATATTTATTGGTTGTCTTACACTTACTACCTCCTTAAAGTATACATACATACATACTACCAATCGGCTTAGAATCAAAATAATTAATTTTCTGAATCGATTTAGCTATGTCCGTCCGTCCGTCTGTCCATGTAAATTAAAACCTTTGTAATCAAAACAGGTCGCAATTTTGAAGAGATAATAAAAATTCAATGAAATTTGTTTGTTGGTACATGATTTTTTTTCTTCTTATAGTCTCAGAGACGAACGAAGGCTATTTGAAAATGGTTAATTAAGATCGGTCTATTATTTCACCTAGCCCCCATACAACTGAACCGGACGAACCGGACTTTTTTTAACATACATATAACATTAAAAAAATGCAAAATCAAGTTCTTTCTTGATGACCCTCATGAATTTTGTAATTAATTAATTATAGATTATATAGGTTCTTCTCATTTGGCCCTCCTAGCCCCTACAAAGCTTACTTCAAAATTTGACTTACAAAAATGTCCACCACAATTTTGTTCAACAATATAAAAATGGCTGCTTATAAATCAAGGCAGGACCATCATACAATTCAACTTAAATAAATGCTTTATTTATTATGAAAACTTAATCACAATTTTTTTTTACAGGTGGTAGGTAGGTAGGTATTAATTATTATATATTTATTATGTATGGTCGGCCCGACTATAAAAATTATTTTCTTTCTACTTGTTTGTTTTTTAATTTCGTTTTAAGACGGCCACCGTACACAAAAAAATCAGAATTAAAATTATAGCAACAAACCAACTATATATATATATACTATATATAATTGTTACACACATACATACTACAATTAATTAAAAAAATAAATTTTTAAAAATTATTTTTATTAAAAATTTTTAAAAGAAAAAAAATCGCCACTGCAACACTGAAAAAGGAAATTTCCACAGCATAAATACAACTCTGTAGGCGAATACAACTCTAATGGCAACAGCCAATCAGAAGCGAGCTTCTAAAATTTCTGCTTACGGATACACACATTTTCTACGAATATCGAAAATTTTAGGCATCGTCTCATTTGTGAACAGTTTACGAATTCGTCAAGTTGTGCGTCGAGCGGTTAGTGTGATATTTTGTAAGAAAATATTAGAAAAAATATAATTAAATAGTGGAAAATTGTAATTTCCATAAGAATTTGTTCGTTTTTAAACAATAAACTACAAGAAAGGTAAGTTTTTGTGGTGTTTAAAAAATTGTGCACGAAAAATGTGGATATATATTTATGATGAAAAAATTTCCCATTATTTTTTTGCGGTATTTTTTATGTTTATTTTTTGATTTTCTTATAAACAAGGGAATTTTTTCTAATTTGTAACCAAATTTTTTGTTGTTAGTTGTGTTTTTAATTAATTTTGTGTATTATTAATTAGCAACCTCATTTTTATGGTTCTTTTCTATAATTTTACAGCGCTTGCTTGTCTTGAATACAGAAATTTGTATTGATTTTTTTTCGCCAAGTGTGTGTGTATATATATTTTTACTATACATACGCCTAGGGTACGCTACTGTGAATAGTGTTGGTGGTTACCAATCATCAATATGGCGGACGACGAGCAATTCTCGTTGTGCTGGAATAATTTCAATAGTAATTTATCGGCCGGTTTCCATGAGTCGCTATGCCGTGGCGATCTGGTGGATGTGACGCTGGCGGCAGAGGGACAATTTGTTAAGGCTCATCGTCTTGTATTGTCTGTCTGTTCGCCCTATTTTCGTAAAATGTTCACTCAAATGCCAGCCAATCAACATGCCTTTGGTAAGTTTTTTTTTTTTAATTAATGTATGTTTTATAAAATATTAACTTGGTTTTTTATTTATTTAGTATTTCTCAAAGATGTTAGCCATACGGCTCTTAAAGATCTCATCCAATTTATGTATTGCGGTGAGGTTAATGTTAAACAGGAGGCCCTACCAGCGTTCATAAGTACTGCAGAGGCTTTACAAATAAAGGGTTTAACAGATGTAAGTATTTTTATTAATTATTTTATTGTAAATTAGTTAATTTTTGCGATTAGTTTGCCCGCTATTTTTGTGTTTGTTTCTCTCTTCATTCATTCATCTTGTTTGTGTAGTAGTGTGCTTGTATGTTTTAGTCCGTTATGTTTTTTGTTCGTGTTTTTTTTTAGTACAAACTGTACTACACTCTGTCAGGGGTTATTTTTTGAATTTAGTACTTAATTCATACATTATTTTTACAACCATGTTAGTGTTGTTGTTTTGCGTAAATATGGAAACGACAACAAAAAGTAAACAATGAATGGGATTTTTCATTCACCTGCATTTTTTTTTTAGAATTTACAATTTATGTCTGAAAAAGTTTAAATTTTTAATACTTTTACTAGTAGTTAGTAAATAAAAACAAAATGGATGTCATTGAATTGATAAATATGACCATATATGTGTTTTTATCTATTTCAATAATTCTTAAACTAAAAGAAGCTTTAAATCTAAAGATACGTTCGTTCACATCTATCAAATATGACGAGGCCCCTTTAAAAATCGACAGTTTGGTTTTCTGTTTAATAACTAGCACCTTCGTTATTTATTTTTGCAATTCGAAAATCATGTATGATCATAGTGGTTACGTCTTTTTTGTTTGGTATGAACCATAGAACTGTAATGGGTGATTGAAAATACATACACCCTAAAAATGATTGTATTTTTGTGTATTTTACTCAAATGTTGAAAATTGTTTCAACAAAAAACAATCAAATTTTGTTTTTAAATAAATCAAACTTGTACATTTTGTTTTATGAATAAAATCATTGCTCAATTCATCCTTATCAATTTGAGTGTTTATTCGATCGACTCAAAAATAATTTTTTTTTTATTAGAAATAAAACTCAAAAAGGCAACAATCAATGTGTATGATTTATTGCTCAAATGTTTATTAAAAACTTTGGGAGCTTTATGAAACCATAGAGGTATGATATACGTTAGACATCTTTAGTAAGTAATCCCATTCACGATAACGCCTTTTCTCTTCTGCTGCAACAATTTTAAAACATTTGGACTCTTAAATTGCAAAAATAACTATATTGCTTAAAATTGTCAATAATTTGGGTAATATTGAAGTCTATCCTTGCGCAGCGTCGATAATGTATACAAATCTTTACAAATTTTCTCTAACACTTAATATTGGTCATTTGACATTTTTTAAAAGTAGTTAGTTTTTCATGTCCATATATCTTAAATTCACATTAATCAGTTCAATCATAACTTATTCAATATTGGATTTTTTTGGATGACTAAACTGAATAAAAATCAGGAAAAAATTGATTTTTGCAGTTCTCTGGTATGAACCTTTAATGTGAACGAAATCTTGTAGTATTTGAAAAATACTTCAAAATCTACCTTTATTTTTAACACACTTGTGTTTATTGTTTTGTAACCAAGTAGAAAAAACTTTATTTTAAAGTGGGATTTGAGGATTTCAGTAACATTGATGCTACATAGGAACAGCTCCCATTAATCAAATATAAATTTTCTCTCTATGTAGGGCAAAATATATTGGAATTTTCTTTCATTATCTTACCGTTTATTAATTTAATTTGTTTTTCTTTACAGAGTGATCCACCACAATCTCAAACACCACCTGAACCCTCAACACCTACGCCACAAATACAACAGCAACAACAAATACAAACGTCGCCTCGTGTACGACAACGTACTTCAACTGCCCGCTCATATAAAATTGAAACGGTCGAAGATTCCGGTGATGATGCAAAACAAACAACACAAATAGTCATACAAACTACGGCGCCAACACACCCACCCCAAGCTACTATTACCACCCAACCTCAACACCAGCAGCAGCATCAACCGCAACAACAGCAGCAGCAACATCATCATCAGCCTCAGCAGCAACAACATATAACGCAACAAACTCTACACACTCAAACACATCAACTTACCAGCGTTAGTATGCCAGCGGCTACCACCACAACAGTGGTGACACAAAAACGACCCGCCCAACGCTCGAGTTTAGGTAGTGTGCCGAATATTAAACGCTCCAAGAGTACAATTGATCCTTTAGAGGCTTCGGATGCCAACACTGCTGCTGCCACACATCAAATAAACGTACAAACTGTTGTTGCCGAATCTAAACCTCAAGTTCAACATCATCATCAGCAGCAACAACAGCATCAAACACATCATCACCACCAACAGCAACAGGCGCAACACCAGCAGCAAACAAATGAACCTGAATACATTGACTTACCCATTGATCTGCCCACAAAATCGGAACCAGACTATGCCGAAGAGGCTGGCGAAGTTGATCAGGCCGAACAGGATGCCACCTATGTTGAAGATGAATCCTATGGTGATATGCGTTACGACGAAAGTTACTTTACCGAAAACGAAGATGCTGCTGCAGCGGGTGGTAATGCAACGGCAACCTCAACACAAAATACTAGTGCAACGACAGCTACCACTTCAAAGGCTATTGTGAAACAACAACCGCTCTCTGATTCTTCGTACATGGATACATCAGCAGATCCAGCTAATAGTGATGCACAAGGTTGGTTGACATTTTTTTATGCACACAAAATCATGCCACTTTGCAGAAAAACTCTAGGCGCTAGACGCCAGTGTTTTTTCATGTTGAGGTGTAATGTTTTGTGGTCCTTTTCACTATAAATGAAAATATTTTTTAGATTTAGAATACTGGTGGAGTTTGGTAATAAATCCAAGCGATTAAATATAAATAGCATAAAATGTATTACAAAAATACATAATGCTCTTTTAATTCTTTATTTATTTCAATTAAAATAATGTCGCTTTGGTTTATTACTACTCTTTCCTTGTTGCTTTAAAAACTTGGTTTAATAACGGTTGTCCTGTTTAATAGTGGATGTAAAATTACCTTTATTAAACTGAGGATTTTAAGCATTAAACAAAAATCTAGTTGTAATAAATTTAGTTTTAAATAAGTTTGCGTTTAAAAGAGAAAAGTATACGTGCGCGAGTTTAATACTTTTCTCATTAGGGGAGTTATTCTGTAATACAATTCGCAAGAAAAAAATTTCGAAATAGAATGTTTTTCAACATACGAATTCGAAATTTGTTTATTTTCGAATTGAGTTACCGATTAATTCCTTACAAATCTTTGCTTTAAATGATGAATTTTAATGTGGAAAAACAAAATTTTCTCGTTTTTAAAAACATTTTGAAAATTGTGTAAAGATTTTGCTATTTTTCCACATTAAAATTTCTTACAAATGCATAAAATTATAAAATTTTCCAGAAATAATTATTTATTGCAAAGATTTTTTCGGTAACCTTTTTATTTAGCAACCAATTTCTTCCAAGATCCTTGGAATTCTTCTGATTTTCTTCTTGCCACTTATTTATAAATTAAAAATATAAATTTTAAAAACAACTATTGCAAAATGGTCCTTTTTGTTAATAATTATTTTTAAAATATATTTTAAACAATTTTTCATATAAAAGAAAAACAATCATAAAAGGAAATCAAATGAACTCCAAAGGATGTATATGAAATTGTTGTTAAATTAAGGAACTTCGTATAAATAATGAAAAACAAAAAAATATTTAAAGCCACAACTGATATATTTCGTGTTAAATATCAAGTAGTGGCAAGTTTTATTTACAAGTGATATTAAAAGTGATGCAAAAATAAAAGAATAAAAAAAAATAAATAATGGTAAGTTAAATAAATAAATTTTTAGTTAAATATTTCTTAAATTAAACTACAGAAAAGCACAATTTCTTAAAAAAAAAAATTCATTTTAAATACAATCCTCATTACTTTGCATTAGATTTTGTATTAGTATAAAAAACATTGAAAAATTTAATAAAAATAATCAAAAATCAAGATTGAATATCTTGCGATTATATAAAAACATCGGCTAATTTTTTTTTTGTTAATACAACTTGCGAATGTTCGCCAGTTAAAAACGGGTGAAAATTAAAATTTATGGTTTCACGTTAAAATCTGTTAGAACGTAGGATTTTTATAAATAAGAAAAAATTTTGTAAATTAAAGTAAACAATTTTACCGTAATTCGATTCCAAAACAATGTCGGGCCTTATTACTAAAATTGTAGACAAAAATGGTTCTGTGCCGTTTAAGTCCCTATTTCTATGTATTTATATGGATGCTAGTAATAAGGATTAATGGATCGATTATTATGCATCTCGCTTGTCACTTAAGTTTTATTGACAAAATAACGTTTTTAAAACCCTAACTTGGAAACTTTGTAAACGTCGGCCAAGTGTCGAAGTCGTTACGCGTGGAATTGAATTAAAATCCATGTAAAATTCATGAATTTAAGTAGTTCTCGGCATTCATAATACAAACTTACAAAAGGTCACATTTTTTACTACGATAACAACTCGTAATAAGGCCGACTTTTATTTATTTAGTTTTTTTTTTTTTCTTTGAAAACAATGGCCCCTATTCTGAATTCGAATCGAAATTTTCTCCGTTTGGCTACTTTGGTATACTGCATTTCGATACGACTTTCCGCCACATGAACAAAAACGTAGGTACGATCGTAACACAGAATACACACATTCGTAAAGCATTGAAACGAAATGGAATTGCTTTTTCTTACGATTCAGTTTTTTTAATACCTTTTATCGATCGATACGTAACTGAAAGCGTAAACGTAATCGAAATGCAGAACAGAAAGCTTTTTTCTAATTAAAAAAATTTAATCAATTCAAGTCTAGTATATTTAGCAAAGCAAAAAATGTGTTTTCGAAATGTGTGATGTGATGTCGAAATGTGTTCACGGTAATTAACCCTCTCAATTTCGGGCATAAAGTCAAACACTTCGAATTTATTCGTCCTGATTCTAGATATCAAACCAAAATTTACCAACCTTTTCGATTCTAACAATGAAATGAACTTATTTTTCTTAAGATTCCGTTTCTTAGAATACATTTTTTCGAATGCGGAATATGGGTACTCCAATATATCGTCGCCTAAAACGCAAACGACCCCAACTAAGAAAAAAAACGAAATCTATTGATTTGGGTGACGAGTTTTGTATGAAAAAAGTATTGGTAGAAGTTGAAAGGCCTGCTTGGGATGTATGTAATGGTTTTTGCGATGATGATGGTGCATATCAGCAATTTTTAACATTGGAGAGAAAAAATACGGACTTTTCGGAAATACATCACTGCATCTAATGATTGGTTTGCGATCCTGATGCACATTTTATTCAAACTTGAAAAATGGATGAAATATGAAAGGGATTTACAAAATACCCTTTTACGGTTAAATAAAAATGGGGTTCGTGAAACACATTTGAATCTAAATATCTACTCGTTCATTGGTATCGGACATTTTCGTGATAAGAGTTTTGCGGATTTCTGTAAAACATTCCGAGATACTGCGCATTAGATGCAACGCAACGATGCATTTCCGATTAAACCCTTAAATTCTGATTAATTTGGCAGACTGATTCGCGAAACTGGCCCAAATTTGGTCTATAGAACTGTAAAAGACATCGCATAAATTTCTAAAATATGTAACGAAAATGCATTTGATTAGTTTGTGTATTAAAAGATGAAAATTATGTTCATAAAATAAACTAAAATATAATACCTACTCATCGCATGCAAAAGGTTTTTGTCGCGTGGTAATTCCGAATGTGACAGATATATCGCAGTGATGCATTTTCAAGCAGGTTGAAGCTTTTAATTAGGTTTGAAATCTGTTGAGGGATATACCTTTCTTTTTAAAATCACAATAGCATGTAATGAATGAGTTTTTATATTCATAACGAAAAAAGTTTAGTTGATGGATGTTGTTCCAATGGAACAACGGCATTAAATGCCGAGTCTAAAAGTTTTTGAAAGGACGTTCTAGAAATGCAACCAAGAGTTAATTTTCTCATGGATATTCTCCCCTATTCTGCAATTCGAATCGAAATTTTCTCCGTTTGGTATTCTGCATTTCGATTCGAAGCTCGGTCAATAAAATAACGTAGTCACGATCGTAGTGCAGAATATTGAAATAAAATGCAATTGCTTATTTTTCTTACGATTCCGTTTTTTGTTGGATACCAATTTTCGATCGTAGCGTAACTGAATGCGGGAACAATCGAAATGCAGAATAGAGGTGATTATAAAAACGTAGCTAGAATCAATATGGAATACACTAAATCATAAGGCATTGATATAGAATTGCTTTTTCTTACTATTTCTTTTTTGTTGGAATACCTTTTTTTACGATCGTTGCGAAAATTAGCATTTCTTACATACGTAATGGTAGCCCTAAAAATTTGTATGTATCGATATAATCGATTTTATGCCGTTTTATCGATATAAGTTTCTAATACATGTCTCGTCAATATCCGTATATTCAGACATAACAAATTTTAGCACATGCAACGGTAACCCTAATAATTATATACAGGCCCATGAAAACAAATTATGAATTTTAAAAATGTTAATTAATAAAGGAGATATATGAAAATGTTTTTTGTTTTTAATTTTTTGAGTTTATTCTATATTTGGGATTTATTAGAAATGTAAATTTTGAATGCAATTAAAAAAATAATGTTGGTATGTACATACATATACAGGGAAGAATTTGCATTTCGATTCTAATCTCCTTTGCTAGATGTTACAAAAACGTAGTTACCATCGTAATGCGGAATACTCAAACACTCTTAAAGCATTAAAACGAAATGCTTTTCCGATTTTTGTTGGAATACCATTTTTCGATCTGTATTTACCTACATATGTATATATTTTTTGTTTATATTCATATTTTCTCTATATTGTCTCCTCTGAAGAGTATTGCTAAATATTTTTCTGGATATCATATACCTGTCTGTTCTGTAAACCGAATCCGATTAAATTTCTCGTTTAAAAACTAGTACACAAATCTAGTCGAAAGTAAATCGATTTCAATTTTATTCAAATAAATTAAAAATTTATTTTTTGCGTTTTTTATATAATTGTAACTTAATATAAATGCTATGGCAATTTTAAACACTTTTTCATTTAAAATATGATTATTTTTCTGAATTTTAAGTTCAAATAAAAATTCGATTTGCAGAACACCAAATTCGATTTTAAAAGCTTCTCGGTAGAGAACAGATATGATAGACTTACAATTAAAAGATCTATCAAATTATTAATATACAAGGTAGTTATTTTACTAGAGATCTTTATTTTTAACTATTACTTATTTTCAATATTGATTATTGTAAAATCATGGAAATTATTATTAAACATCTTACTGTTTTTTACAACTCTGTGTATTAATAGTGTTAACCAACACTGTTTGCTGTACAACAACGAATATTCTATCAGAATAAAAGTACAGAAAATGTTGACAGCAAAAGTTAAAAAATACACAGTGTTTTGGTTTTTTTTTAAGAAAATTGAAAAAGAACATTTTAATTTATAAACTAATAATTTTAAAATAAATAAAATGCCCTATTGTAGACAAAGTGTTAATATGTTATTTAAGTGATATTTGAAGGCTTCTAGGAATTTGTTATAATTGGTGGTAAAATAAAAGAATCTGGTAAATATTAAGTTAATAAGGAATATGCTAAATTACTTATAAGATGCAATTAATTGTTTAAATTAATAATACAAAAGAATTTATTTAAAATTAATTTCCTGTCTTTTAGTTTTAGGTAAATGTGAAGTCCCAGTTTCATTGTTTTTTTTTTTTTCTAAATATATAATAAAATAAAAAAGTACAAGTTTGGCTGTTGTTTCATTTCAAAAATACTTTATAATAGTTTAAATAATACAAGTTCCATTTAGAAGATACTTAAGAAATACCAATATTTGTGTTATTTTTTTAGGACAAGTAAAATTCATACGCAGCCAAAAGAAAAATGCCCAGCTGGTGTACAATGGCTTCATTTACAATAAGAAACTAACACAAGCAAATGGTCATACGACCTGGCGTTGTATTGATGTTCTTAAGATGCGCTGCAAGGCGGTGGTTATAACAAAGAAAAATGAATTAGTGGCCGCCAGAAGAGAACACAATCATGAGGATCATTTGCAGAGAATCAACCAAAGACCTCTTTACAACGAAGAGGAGGATTTGGGCGATTATATTGAATTAAAACCCGATAGTACATCTCTCAACGATTTCATTTCGATGACAAATATTGATATTCTTACACATAAAAGTGGCAAGGAATATAAGCTGTATGTACCCACCGCCTGTGCCGGTTTGGATATGAAAACTCAATCAATATTAAAAAGGGATCCCATGTAAATCTATTCAACAAATATACACACAAAAAGAATTGAATTTTTTTAAGTATAAAAAAGCTAGTTTCAACATTAGAATTTAGTTACATATAAAATATTTACATACTTTCAATAGTTTTAATTTAGTTAAATTAACATCTTGCAAACATAAGCCAAATAAAAATACACATGAATATGGAAAAAATAATTAATTATTCAAAAGTTTATAATAATATTAATAGCTAACTAAATACTTAAGATTTTTTAAATATACATAATTATATTTTTACTAATTTTTTATATAATTTCATCTTTTCTTTCGCCTTTAGATGCTAAGCTCTTCTTTATTGAAAGTCCTTGGGCTACCTCCTGTCTTATATTAAACAATTTCATTTACAATTGCCATAGTCGCAAAAGTAATAAGGAATACTGGCGTTGTCACAACTATTCTAAAAAATTACAAGAAGAACGTTGTCGCTCTCGATGTGTGCTAGAGAATGGCAAACTTAAAGGACTTTCTGGAGGACCTCACAATCATCCGCCTCATACAGATAAGATAGCTAAAATGATTGTAAGAAATCGTATGTCGGATGATATGGTAGAACAATATTATACCGTTGCAAAAACTGAGACAAAGTAATACCAAATAAGTTGTAAGGATTACAAAGCTCAACTGATGTTTATGCAGGAATGAATGTTTTTTTGTTTAATTCCTTTTCGTTTATAGTATAGATAAGAAAGAAATAAATTTAAATTTAACTTGTATTGTTGTAAGAACTCTTTTTAACACGTTTTATGTACATTAAGCAGTTTTTGCTTAATAGTTTAAACTGAAAATAAATTGATTTTTATTTGGAATTTGTGGCAATTTTGAGAAAAAGTAAACAAACGAAATTGTTAACATTTTTGGTAATTATACTTTTTCTATTTATTTCATTTTAGCTATTTTTGTTAAGACTTTAAGTAATACTTTATTTTTCCATTTGTTTTGTAGGTGTTATCGATTTAGCTGAAATTCCAGTAACAGATCAAAATCGTGTTAAATATCGCAGCAGTTTAAAAGGTTCCTATCAATTAGTTTTAGATGGTTTTCCTTATACTAGACATCGTATTCGTGGAGGCACGATTTATTGGCGTTGTGTGCAATTTCGACCCTTAAAGTAAGTACCATTAAATTTTTTTTATACATTTGAGGGAAGTTGGTGTTGGGATTATTTTGATCAAATTTTAATACATCAAAAATATTTAAAATAATTCCTTTATTGAAATTTTATGAAATTAAACATTGTTTTTGGCGAACATTAGTTCGATTTAAAAAAAAATAAAATGTTGAAAATTGTCTACTTAAATTTATTTACTAAATACTTAATTAGCTAAAACAAAAGTGCTGTTAGTTTGATTAATTGAACTTATCTTTCTTCTTAATTTACAGTTGTAAAGCCCGCGTTAGAACAAATCCATCTGGTGATCGTGTATCAATAGTGGATGAAGATCACAATCATGGTATACTTAAAGAGAGACGTAAAAAAGGCTCACTTAAAATTGTCTATGAGCAACGTAAATTGGCCAAAGCGAGAAAAACTTAGATTTTTATAAAGAAAAATACAAAACAATAAAATATTTACAATAAAATTATAATCGACATGATGAAAATCATTTTATAGATGATTTTTTATTAATACTATTTAGTTACAAAATCTAACAATTGGTTACATTTATAACATTTTTGATTTTTTTTTACATTTCCTAGAAACTTCTTTATTTACCTACAATTATAGAGGACATTTGGTTTATCGAAACTATACCTATTATGTACATAATATAGCTACGTCAACTTGTGTGGTGCACTGGCGCTGTACCAATTATAATAAAACAAAATGTCCAGCAGTTTTAACTACCAAGGAAAAAACACTAATAACATTAAGAAATCAACATAATCACAACTCACAAAAACAAAAAACTTTTAAAGCCAAAGTTTATAAATAAAATAAATTAACATGGTTTAACACACATAATTTGTTTTTAATTTTATAAAACTTAATACTTAAATAACAATCTTCATAATTTCTATTATATTTTTACTAATTATTTAAATAAACTTTCTTTTTCAGGTTCTTCCGGCAAAACTTATTTGATTAATAAACGAGCAAATGTTTCACGCAAACCACCAGCAAATGATTTTCCTAAAATCAAATCCTCACAAATTGAATTTAAAATAATTGATAACAAACATATTGCTAGTCGCAATACCTTGCAAATCGAACCGTCTGTGTCTATTATAAGTTTAGACGAAGCCATGATACAACCTTTGGACAAGAAAGTGGTTCAGGATCAATTGACCAATCCCAAGGCGGTAATAAAAAGAGCAGCAAATGGTCACTCACTAAATATGGTCAAACGTAAGAGACTATTGGGACTATGTGTGTATTGCTTGAGAAAGCCTAAAACCGATAAAAAACGTTTGGCTAAAGTTACTTCATTTTGTCCAAAGTGTCCAGAAGGTTGTTGGATGTGTGAATCTTGTTTCGATGAAATCCATGAAGTAAATAAGTAATTTATGAGTTTTTAATAACAAATTTTAATTATTTATTATTTTTACAAAGTTTTCAAGTGAAAACTTTAGTAATTAGTTATAGATTTTATTTACATATATCACACTGTGTGGAATTTTCAATAAAGATATTAATCAAATTAAGCTTATTGACCATCAGAAAGCTTATTGATGACAAATTTTCAATCTCTTATTACAAGTAAGTAAATCTTTGTTTCAAACATCCAAATTTTATTGAAAATATTCTCGAAAATTTTCAATTTTATTTTAATTAAAAGTAAAAAGTGGTTGTCCGTGCCGCGACGTAATTTAGATTAAATATAAAAAGCTTAAGAATTTCAAAAATGTTAAAATTTTAAAAATTGCAACTTGTGTTCGAAAAATGGGTAATTTCTGTAAAATTACATATTTTTAAATTTCAAGCTTTGGAAATATATTTAATTATATTTATATTTTTACGAATTTCTAACATTTATAATTTAAGCTTCGAAATTAATTAAACAAAATCGTTTATTAAATCAATTCCTGCAGAGATTAAAAAATAAGAAAAGTATTTTTCCTCTTTTAATTTTGTAAATTTAAAAACAAATTAAAAATTTTATTCTACATCTTTTTTATTAACTATTGTACCACATAAAACATCTTCACCACCAACACTCGCGGTAGTAGTGGCCATACCTTCTAACTTAACTTTTCGCTTTTTAAAACGTTGCTTTATCAGTTCATGATTATGATCTGGTCTTAATACCTCTAATTTCGATTCTTTAGTGGTGCGTACTCGAGCACGACATTTAGTGGAAGAACGAGTTGAACAAATCCATTTGGTGCCACGAGAATTTTCCATGTATTTAACAAAATGATAACCAGCATAGACAAGTTTAGTGGATGAACGTTGGCCAGTGGTGAAGTAAAAATTATTAAAAGTAAAAGCTGAAAATAAAGGGAAAATGGGGGAAAAAGAAAAGAATAGCATGACAGCATTAGTTAGAATACAAATTAAAAACTTATAAAAAAATATATTTTTAATAAATCCAAGCTGTGTAGTAAAAAAATTAACTTTTTATTTTAATTTTTATTGTAATTTTTTTATTAATAAAATTAAAACAAAAAGTAAAATATATAAAATAAAAGTATTTTTGCATAATTAGAATGTTATGTTTGTGGTTGTTGTTGTTGTTGGTTATTATTTGATTCAAAAATCTAATTAAGTTATAAAGTTACTTGTTATTTAGTTTAAAGAAAAACAATCGATTACAACTACTATTTGTCTATTTTTTAGTTATGACAATGGGAGAAGGTTCAACTATTTCCGTTACGTCTGCCACTATTTCTTCATATTTTAAATGCATGCCCAGCGAACTGACATCAATACTACTGCCAGCTGTAGTGGAAGCTGCATTTGCGGCCCCCTCATGCTGTTCAGCTTTTACCAACATTTTATCGGCGGGAATATTTTTACGCACACGCTTCTTGCGTCGTACAATTTCCTCATGAGTATGATAACGATTTAGGGGAATAACCATATCATTAATGGTACAGACACGTGAACGACATTTCTGATTCCACCATTGATTGCAACGCCAGTATTTCTTTTCCTCATTGGTGGCTAGTTTTATTTTCTTTTCGAATATGAATGGTTGGCCACCATAGATCAATTGTATACGTCCACGAGAGGTGGCAGAATAAACAGCAGCGGTGGCTTCTTGATCTAAGGGAGGAAGAGAATGGTAGAAAAAAAGCATTAGTTAAAGCTAGTTAATTAACATTTTTTTAAAGTTTAGTTTAATTAAATAAAACAAGGCTGTAGTAGGTAACAAGGTTTCTTAGATTTTTTGTTTACATTAATTTTATTTTCTTTATTGATTTATTTAACTTCCGTTAGTTTAAGTTTATTTTTTAACAGTCTTGTGGAGGGTGGATGGCTGTGTTCGGGTTTGGTGAGAAACACATTATACAGCCCATTGGGTCTTAGAAATGTGGTAATGCGTGCATTGCAAGGTTTGCCATTTTTAACAATACGACATTTCCAATAGGTGGTATTGCCAGTGCCATTATTTTTGGAGTAAGTGTAGTTTTGATAGAACAACAAATTTCTGCCTCTTTGTCCAGGAATGAAAACCAAATCACGATTTGTATGCATGGCTGCTGCCAGAGATGGTTTCGTTTCTATTCTCACTATAGGTAAAATATCCTTATTCACTCTACGTTGCTCATTTTTTAAGTCACGTCTCACTTCTACCAGTAGCACAGGTTTTACAGCTGTAATGAATAGATAAAGAAATAAAATCAAAGAAATATTAGTAAAATTAATTTAATTTTTAATAATTTAAGGAAATGTTTCTAATTTTTAAAATTTTTAATATAATACAATCTCTTAAGTTGTTATTACAGTTTATTAATCAAAAAGTACAAACGTTTTTATTTAATAATACTGATACTTTTTAACGTTGAAATGTTTATAGTTTTTGTGTTTAATTTAAACTTATTGTAGCAAAATTTGTTTAATAAGAATAAAATATCATATTAATACATTTTAATAACTTAAAACAATGTTAGTTTACAATTTGTTACACAATATAAGTTTGCATTTAAAACTGTTTAGTTAAAATAATATCTAAATCATAAGGATTTTAAAATATAAAATTTTAGTTTTATTTGAAACCAATTTTCCAATTTTGAACTTAAAATTTTTAAAAATAATTTTAAAATTTTCAAGAATGTTCAAGTTGGAGTAGAAATTATTTTTTAAAAGTAAATTAAACTCCAAAATACTGAATATTTCAGATTCTGTAGAACTTTAGTTTAAAAGGATCCATTATTTTATCTGTAGAACTTTAAGAATTAACCGAAATTAACTTTCGAGTAGAAAAAGCACTTGGTTGATATTGAAGAGTCATCTGTAAAACGATATAAAATGTTTTTGCAGAAAGACTTTCTCAAAAGAGATCAAAATAAATATTAATATTTTGATGTAAACTTTTTACTTTAATCTTTTACTATTTCTCTAAATAGTAAATTACTCTCGACTTCTGTTGGATATAAATTACGAGCATCATTTAAATTTGCTTATTTTTATAAAGAGATCAATATTACTACTATTACTAAATAAACATTAAACAATAGATATAATAAAATTTATAACTTAATTTATAGAAAAACAATTAAATATTTCGAAAATTATTTCAAAACATTAACAACTCACGGTATACACACATACACATACTATATGAATGAAAAAGTTGACATAAAATTCTTAACAGGTTATATTACTGGAAACATTGGCTCATGGGTATGGACAGCTGAGGTTACATGTATAATATCACCATGAGAAGTTAATTTTGTTACCAATCTAGCTTTGCATTTGGCCTTATGATACATCGAACATTTCCAATCACGGCTACGAGATTCAGGTTTAAGTTTAGAGTTGGGTGTATAAGTATTGTATTTATAAAATACCAATTGAGTACCACGTCGCGAAATGATGTAACGAGCAGAAACAGGATTTACCACAGCTAGAAATAGTATTAGAAATTTTGTTAAAATTATTAAATATGAGGAGATATTTTAATAAAATTACTTTTTTTTTTAACTTGAGCTTAAAATATTTGTTAAAGATTTTTAATACATATTAAAACAATGTTTATTTTATTTGTGATTTAAAAAAAATTTAAAAGAAAACTAAAGCTTAAATAAAGTGTCATTGACAACTAACATTTCTATTACTTATTAGACAAATATTTGTAGATTTTATGTTCATATTGTCATTTTTCAGTTTTAAAGTTGACGCGACGTTGTTGTTGCTGCTGTTGTTGGACAGTATCATTTTCTTGTTTTATTAGTATAGTTTTAGCGGGTAAATGTTTGGGATGATTATGATTACCATCTCTTATTTGCATTTTCATAGAATCCTTACGTATTATAGCACGGGCACGACATGATTTACGAAAATTGGCACATTTCAAATAATAAGTATTTGCTGATTGAGAACTTATAACAAAACGATAATTGTTTATCACAGTATAATTTTTGGGACGTCTACATTTAGCAGCTGTAATAAAATTGTTGAAAAGAATTACATATTATTAAAAATAACTTAACTTTGTTTGCGAATTCATAATTAATGCCCCTTAAATATTTTCTATTAAAAACAATCAAGATTTTTGTTTAAAATGTTTATATAAAAGAGATCATTATTTAATTTATATTAACTTATTTATAAGAATTAAAATTATTTACATGTTTGTTTAAATCATTTGTCTTTATTAGCACAAACTGCTGCATGATTGTGTTTTTTATGTCCAAACTTAATGGCATTTTCTCCAGCTGTAACACATCTGGCTGGACATCTTAAAGAAGTATTGCTATTTTTATTGCAAATCCAATTAATGGTGGCATTATATTTACGTTCAGCAGTATAAAGAAAACCTTTATAAATTAAATTCATACCACCTCGTCTATTTCTAACAAAGGTATATTTCTCATTTAGCCATACTCCAGTAAGAGGCTTGAAATCTTTACATATTTCTAAAAAAAAGTTTAAATCAAAGTCAGTAAATAACTAACAAAACTTAAATTTAATTTTACATTAACATTAAACAAATAACATTCATATGTGTCCTTAGTTAAATTAAACATAATTATACTTTATTGCATTTTAGCTTAAAAAAAACTACTTATTTTTATTTTAAACTTAATTATGATTATGTTGCCCTCTTAAGGAGGCTATACGATTATATTTTGTTATAACTCTGGCGGAACATTTTGTATATTTGCAACGTACTTTTACACATTCCCAATAGCAGGCATCTTTAATGCGTCGATTAAGGGTATAGTTTTTACCATTTATTGTTAGTAAATTATTACCACGAACGCTGCGAGTAAAACTTACATTTAGGTTATCATAATTTGTTTTTTTCTGTTCCAATTTCATGGGTTGTAATAATGAATATGAAGCTATAATATAAAATAGAAGAAAAAATGGATAGAAGTGAGCTAAACTTAAGATATTATTAATTTGTGGTTTAAATTTTAATCTCTGGATTTGGTTTCTTGGATGATTAAAGAAAATTTGCACAAAACATAGGTACAATTTTTGTGAAAAGTTAGCAGAACTAGTTTAAAAAGGAACAAGGTATAACAAACGTAAAATCTTAATTAATTTGGCTGTAGGTTGTAGATCTTCAGAAACATAAAGATCTTATCATTTCAAATCAAAGGAAAAATGGGGATAATAATAAATTCAGTGTATCATAAGACATTTTGGACATTTTTTTCTATATTAATTGAGGAAATTATAATAATTGCACAGGGGCTGTATACCTTGGCGGAGCAACTCCCACAAAGTCATATTTCTAGAACTTAGGAAACCTAAAAGTGACTTCTATGATTAATATGTTTTGGATCTTAAGGCTAATTAATAGTATTTAATCATAAATCTGGCAAACAAAATTCATAATTATTATATGTATTTATATGGATAAACGTATTTATTTATGCAATTTTCTTTTAAACTTCCATAGAAACCAAATAAAGTTTTGTTCAATCATATTAATTTTGTTAAAATATTAATACATATGTAGGTATCAAACTATTTTAAGTAAAACTCATACTAAATGTTTTTTTGAATAATTTATTTTGTTAATAAGTTACAAATTGTGTGCTGTACAGGTACATCATATTCCTTAATTATTAAAATACTTTAAAACTTTTAAGTTTAATCAGCTATAACTATTTACTTATTATTTTCCCTAAACCATACAAAAACTTAAAAACTAGCTTACTCGTTTGCTCATGACTGCTTTTATACATTTTTTAAACATTTCCTGCTTTTTTCAACTCTTGGAGTTTGGAAATCATAATTAGGCTTTTCCCACAACACAAACACTATGGGGGTTTCGTTAGCACTTTCTTTTTATTTATGAAAACAAGATTCTTTTCATAAAAAACTGCGTTAACACTTTTATTATACAAATAAAACATAATTTTTGTAATTTATCTTTAAATTAAACTTTAAAATTTATTTCAATTTAGCAAATAACACAAAACCTCTATAAAATTTCACAAAATTTATCAGTAGCAGCAAAAAACACAAACCACAAGAAGAAAAATAAATTGACAGCCAACAACAAGGCGTCGAAATGTTAAGAACAGTGTTGTTAAGTGGAAAAATATTTACATATTATTAACAAATTAAAGCATACATTAGAAAAAAATAAAAATATCTAATAACATTATTAATTGTTAAATTATTTCCTATTGAATTATTATTATTTTATATAAAAAGTTAATAAATTAAACTTTTGTTACACATAAATGCAACACTAGCTAAATTTGTTTGTATTTGCAACTGTCAGTGATAATGTCAAATTATCTGCTGCGTCTGATTGCATGTTGTGACAATTGGAAGGAAGAAATAAGAAGAAGAAAACACTGATAGTGATTTTTGGGCAAATGTTTCAATAGTTTTGTGTAAAAATATTCAAGTTTTATAAAATTTTAAACTATACTCATAATATTAAAATAGTTTTGTGCTATAAACGTTTCAAATTACATTTAAAGCGTTTTCTAAACAATTTATAATTAAAAACTAGTTAATTATTGAAAGTTTTATTGGTGGTAGACTGTCAAGTCCCTGATATAAACAAATGAGAAAAAGCATTTTTTTTAATAAAATAAATTATCTTTAAACCTAAGAACAAATTGATAATTTAATGTGTTTTATTTAATCTAAGTTATTATAAATTGGGCCTTGTGTTTATTGTTTATTTATTTTTCCAATCTTTTATTGTTTCTTTTACAGCTGCTCCTTTAGTCAAAAAACCACCAGCACCTGCTCCTGCTAAAGTACCGTCTGGAAAAATTCCCTTGTGTGCTGGCAGTAGAGTTTATGTGGCTAAAAATGATTTAATGAAAATATTTATACCAAATGCATGCATTTATACTTCGCGTTTAAGTGATTTGGTATTTGGTTTGGAAAATTTGGAAAAGGTGGCCAAGTCCGGTTCAAAGGATTATTTAAAACTATTAAATGAAGATATATTGAAATCCATGATAAGTAAGTATGATTTTAACGGTATTTGAAAAAATACTTTTAAAAAGATTAATCACGTTTTGTTATGTTTACTTTAAAATATTATTAAAGATTGCACTTGCACAAACTTGTATACTTGTTAATTATATATTTTTGTCTTATTTAGTCCATTTTTTCTTCTTTCTTTTCAGCTCATGTTGTCCAAGTTTTCACTTTGCGTGGCGAAACTATTGATAGCAATGTGGTAAAACGTTTCATTGAACAAAAAATTGTCAATATATCTAAATCCACAACATCTGCATAGCTGAGGTTGAAAAACATAAATCAGCTTTTAAAATAATTAATTTATGTTTTTTAATTTGTTAAATTTGTTTCTAATAATTAAATCGCTATAAGTTTTATAAAGTTTGTAAAAAACATTTAATGTCCGACATCATGTTCATAAATATAAAAAGCGCCAAAAACACTAATTGAAATTGAACAAAATCTTATTTGTGTTATAATATTAATACGATTTTATTTATGTACAGCTGTTTACTTAGATAGTTTTACTAATTAAAATAATTATTTTTACTTACAGATATCAAATACATATTTGAGGATAAAAATGCCACCACTTATATACAATATTCCACCACACAAAGGGGACGTGTTATGTTAATATATAACGGTTATCGTTATGTGGAAAATCGTCAGAGTCATAAGAATATATTTTGGCGTTGTTCACGTTATGTTAAGTATGGTTGTCGTGCCACTGTGGTTACTTCTAAAGTCAATGATGATGTTTCAATACGGGTAGCTGGTTCACCGCATACTCACGATCCCGAAATGAAAACCGATAATTTAATAGAAATGACACCAGATTTTAGCATAGAAGATAGTAAAATTAGTCTAATGCGTAGTATGGTGGGGCTATTGAGCGATTAGTGTTTGGTTTGAAAAGGGGTTTTAATTGTAGTATTAATTTATTTAACATTATGTACAAAAAAAGAAATAAATTTAGTTTCTATTTAAATAAAAAATACACAACGAAATTACATAAATTTACTTACTAATAGTAAAGAATTTAAAAAAATAATAAAAAAAAAAATACTTGTTTGTTTTCTATTTTTCTCTATTTGAATTTTATATTTGAATTAATTTTTAAATTTTTACTAACACTGTTTTTCTTGTATTATATTTGCAGCTTTAAAGATAAAATCGTTTACTGGCTCTGGGGCACTTGATGAATTCCGTAAACCATTAAATCTACCCAAAATATTGGATGGTAAATTTTACAGTGACATACGACCGCATCCTAAAACACCAGGAGGTATACAAGCCACCTGTACCACTTGTTATGGCACTATTTCTGGTACAACCAAATCAACTGGAAACTTCTTAAGTCATATAAAACGACGTCACAAAGAACTTTTGCCTTCGTGCCAATTGTACTGTTCTGCCAAAAATTTAAGTTGTTTTAATCAGTCGGATTTAAAATTTCCAGCTAATTTTCCCATGTCTTTAACTAGTTCGCCAGTTCCCCTAATGCTGGCTTATACATCTGGTGGTGGTGGTGGCAAGGAGCAATCCGCGCCCTGTGTGACCACGGCTACCGCCATTATGGCGGGTACAACGACTACAACAAATTCAAATGCAATGCCCGCCATACCAGCATTTTTACGTAGTGATTCTTCTTCCTCGAGTACTGCAAATAATATGGGAATCAATCCAGCTAATGGGGTTTTCAAACAGTCTCCTCCTCATTAAAAGGATAGAGAATATTAAGTGAATGACAATTTAAAAATTATTTTTAAGACGTTTTTTTTTTTACTTTGCTAAATTGGTGGACATTTGCCTATTAGTCTAAATTGATAATTAGGTTAAATTATTCTTCAAGCTTTTAATGTTCACCACGTATTATCAGGAATTTTTTTTTGTTTTTCAAAAAATTTATTTTAATGAAAGTTTGTCACTTATTTGTTTTATACCCGGCCTTAAGATAATTGGTCTTAAATATTCGATAATTTAAGTATATTTTGTATATGGTGTCTCATATATGTATTTTTCTGTTTGTTTCTTTCATTTCTGTATTAAAATGGTCAGTTTTATTTTTATTTTAAAAATTGTGAAGTACAAAAAGTTTTATTATCCTTTTCATTTTGGCCATTAAGCGGTATGTAATAAGTTTTAAGTAGCAATCAAAATAGTTTTTAATAAATATCAACAAATATATACTTAAGCTATATATCATCAATATATGGGCAGTTTCCCCTTTTTAAAAACTTTTATTTTGTATCCATTTCTAACAAACTATTTTTTTGTAACCCGTAAAATGTTTAGTATTTTTTTTTTATTTTCTTGTATGTATATAAAAAATTTAATAAAATATCATGTTTTGTATTGCAACATACAGATTTTTATGTAAAGTAAATTCTTTATAAATAATTATAACTAAAACAACAATTTCAGATTAACGTCATATATTACTTTATCTCATTCTTTGTATTAAATTTTTATTTGTAGGTAAATTGGAACACAAAACCTTCAACTGCCATTCACCAGATACTTTATCGGAGAATTTTCAATTGTGTGCTAATTTTGGTTTATCAAAAAAATCTCGTCCGATATTATTAATTGAAAATTATTCGTTTGTTTGTGATACAAAACCTAAAAACAAATCCGCTTATGTATCCAGTTGGCGTTGCTCCATGTATGTTAAGTATTTGTGTAAGGCTCGGGCCTGTACGAAACAGATTGGTGGTGATATTCGTTATAGAATAACACATCCTTTTCACACACATTAAATATGTTCATATGTGGTTAAGTAAGTATTAAACGAAAAGCAGCTGTCATAGTTAAACTCATTTTAAGTTGTATTATTATTATTCTATTAATTATATATACAAAATCACTTCAGATTCTTCTCAAATGTAAACAATTTAGAGAGATATGTAAGTCTATTAGGAAAAATCAAACATCGATCTTTTGCTATTCCCTTTTATTTAGCTTTGTAGTTAAATAAAACTGAAATTTCTGAGCAACCAAACTTCAGTTGCCAAAATCTTAAAGTATTTTGTGTTTCTTAAAAAATGGATTTAAAATAACTAACTTTTAATTTTAAAATTTACATTTTATTTGTGTTAATGTTTCATGTACGAAAAAATTTTTTTGTTAAATCAAACTTTTATGTTAGTGAATTAATAATTTAATAAAATTTGTTTTTAATAAAAAATTGAGTTATAGTAAAATTAGTTTTATAATAAAGATTTTGCAAAAATCCCAGAAAAGCAACTTTTTCAAAAAAAAGGACAAATTTATGCAAAAACAATCTGATGACAAGGATTTATTTTGTAAAAGTAAAATTTTTTTGAATTTTAAGTTTTAAAACGTCCAAATTTTAATTGCGATTTGAAAATATCTCATCTTCATACGAAATTTGTTCTAGAAACCTTTAATAAATGTTTATGAATAAGACCAGAAGGGTTATTCATTATGAATAATTATTCATCATTTATCAAAGGTTTATATATTATTTTTTAATTATTATAACGAGTCAAAAAGAAGTTGGAATCAGATCTGAATTAAAGGGATTTTATAAAAAATCAATAAAAAAAAATTACAACCAACCCATAAATATTGGAAAGATTTTTACTTCAAATCGAAATACGTAATATTCCCCTGGATATAGTTTATATTTTATAAAAAAAAAACATTTCATAATAATACAATAACATTTTTAATTCCTATTAAATAATTTATTTCATATAAATAGCAATTAAACAGTTAATTTAATACGTCAAAAAATAAAATCAATGCATTTTATATATTAACTATAAAATCATAAACAAATTCAAATAAATATAAAAACTTTTCGTAAATTGTAAGACTATTTACATGTACATTGTACAATAATAATAATAATAATGTAAATAAGAAATAATACTCATTGAAAAGGTGGTTTATTTGGTATTAAACCAATTGCACTAAACTTTTTATAGATCAACATACCCGATCTTCTGGCCAACTCAATACGTTGGCCATCACCGGAATGATTGTGTATATCTAGAAAAGTTAAAAAAGTTAAAAACTAAAAAAAAAACATACAATTTAAACACCTACCATTGGTCACATACAAATCATCGCCAATAGTTTTCAAACGACTGCGACATTTTTTCGAACGATTATGAATACATTCCCAGTAAACTTTATCACCCATGGGACCAAATCTTTTCAAATTGGATCTATAAATAAAATCATTAATGGCCAGTAATGTGCCCCCCTTGCGGCTGATGATAAACAATTGGGGACCACAATTACGGACGTGTTGCATAACTGCAAAAGAGAATAGAAAGTTAAAGAAAAAGTGAGAGAAAAAATATGTTTAAACACGTAACATTTAGGTTTAGTTTTGTTGTATTATTAAAATAAATAGAAGACTATTTTTGTCATAGTGTTTGGAGGAGTAAATATATTTTTTATTTATTGTCATATATTAGAATATTTAAAGGGAATATGAAAAGAATTTACTTAACTATAAGTTTAAAATAATTTTAAATTATACCCAGTTCCTCAAAGTCTTGGTAAGAGTTTTAGTAATAAAAATATTTTAATATTATGTTATAAACATTAACTATGCTTTAAGAAAATGGGACTTAAAATTACAAAATTAAAGATATATTAATTTTTTGTAAGGCACCAGAGTTTGTAGATTATATAATTAAACAAATAAGTTTTTTTTTAACAGAGTTTTTATACTAAATTTGTGAATATTGTGTAGTTTCTTCCCACGAGTTAAAAAAAGTTATTCTTTTTATTAAGATTTAATGTATTTTTTTTATAAAAATAAGATATAAAGGAAGATTTTCCAAATTTTGCCGAAAACGAAACATTTTGTGAAATTCACTATAAAAATCTGTTAGTTTTTTTATTTTAAATAAGTCAATAAATAATCAGGTTCGGCCTTAAAAGTGTGTTAATTAAAAACATTTTTGACCATTACAAAATATTGAAATAATTATACAATTTCAACGCACCAAAGTAAGAACTTCAGGTATAAAATTGTTCAAAGAATCAGAAATTCCCATGTAAGATCAAATAATGTTTATCAAATAAAAAAATATAATAGGATTTGATTCACTTTCAAATTATTGGTTTTAACCGATTTTACATTTCCCCAGGTGCCCCACACAACTTTTTTTATTTCTTTTTGCCTAACAAGGCCTTTTGTAAACGTTTTTTAATCTTCTCACGAAACTCATTGGGATCTTCGGCCGGAGTTACTTCCTTTGACTTGGTAACCTCCGGTGACTTTTCACTACTTAATTCTGAGCTAAATTCCAATGTTTCTTGTGATGGTGCATTCTCCAACTTAACATTAGACTGTATGGGTTGTGGTATTAAATCTCCAATATTTAAAGTAACATGTTCTTGTTCAGACTGAACTGGTGCTTCAATATGCTGAACATCTGTTATAGTCACAAATTCCGGCTCTGGTTCCTCGCCGGGCGTAAATTTTACAGAAGTCACACTTTTATCAGTGGCCTGTACGAAATGTATATGCTCGCCATCCAAGGGATACACCAGTTTTTGATCGGTAACCACACGCACTAAACATTCCTCTTTGTTTTCTTTGTAGCAACACTGGAATATAGTATATTTACCCTTACGGAATGAATAGCGGAAATGATGACCATCTACCACTAATTTCATGGTACCTTTAGTGGTGGAAGCATACAAAATAGGTTGTCCTTGGTGATTATTAATGGCTTCAGTAATTTTACCTACTATTTTCATCGACGTTCTTGGAGCAGTCCTTGGGTCTTTACGAGGTCTGCCTCTTTTGGCAGGTCCACGGCTAGTCGATGACTCCCGCAATAAATCAAGCGAATTTGAAGCATCATCATCCAAATCTAAACAATATTAAAAGAAATATTTAGCCAATTAAATTAAAATTGCGATAATTTATTAATTAAAATTATGAAATAAAATAAAACAAGTAGTTGGTAAAGGTTTAAATAAATTCTTTATTAAAATAAAATGGGTAAATAATAAAAAAAAGAAAATTAGCAAGTAAATCACACGCGTCACTACTTTAATTTTTGTATTAACTATTAGTAAGCACAGTTGGAAAAATAGTACTGACGTGATAAAAATACAACCAAGGTGAATGTATACAAGATGAAGTTAAATGCAAATTCATTAGTTTTTATTCATGAAGTTTTTGACAGTTTTGATATTGGGATAATTTTTAATATACATAAATATGAAGAATTTGATAGCTGTGTTGTACATTTTCATGTAGAATAAATATTAGAATCACTTAGTGGGGAGGTTATATGTCTATGTATACCTATCCTAAAGTATACTAATTGGTTAAGGTTAACTTTCTGAGTCGATTAAGTCATGACCACCCGTCTGTTCATTACATATCGTGATGATATATATCATATATATAAGTTTTATATAAACTTAATACCTACAAATTTTATGAGCATCGGACTATATTAGTTTGGTCCATGATTGACATCATAACATTACTTATTTATTTGTTAGGGGGCCTACAGGACAGACTATCGGGATGTAATGCTGGTTATTAAATTTGGACGTTACATTATAGGTACTGTTTATTTAATAGTCATTATCGGTAAAACATTCTATTTTCAAAAAAGTACCTATCACCTGTCATAATAAATTATTCTGGACAAGTTATTTCCTCAAATTACAAATCCACTACTTTTGAAGTTTTCTTAATCTTGCGAATTAAACGCCGTTGTAAACGTTCTTTAATTTTTTCACGAAACGCATTTGGATCATCTAGAATAGATGTATTTGCAGGAACTTCAGCCGTAAATTCCAAAGATTCATCATTTTCTTCCTTGATCTTCATTTGTAAATAATCTGGAATGGATTTCTCATCTACTACGTTAGATGTTGTGTCTTTTGCTTCTATAAGGTCTTTTGGACTTTTATCGTCTAGAGGTTGTTGGTGAGAAGTTACATATTTGCCTGGTTTAGCCGGTTGTTGTTTTTGCAGCAGATTGACCGATAGTTCTTTTTTGGGTGCAACAGCTGTCGCCGATTTCACCATCTTTGGTGGTTTATGCATCGGGACGTTCCTAGTCGAAGATATAATAGTTGATGGAACTCGCTTAGTTGGTATTTTATGAGAGTGTTTGTCATTCAAGTGATAAGCTAGATTTTTATACATAACAACTCTAGCCAAACATTCCTTTTTCTTTAATTGATTGCTACAGCGATATATACTGAATTTACCTTTTCTGGAAACATACCGATAAATTTGTCCTTCTAAACTTAATTCCATAGTACCTTTGCTGGATTCATATTTTGGAGTTAGACCTCGCTGTGCGCTAATAGCCTCAATAATTTTATCCATTGAGGGAAATTCATTTTGTGGCGATGCCTTCACATACTTACGAATTATGCGATTTCCAGCAGATTCCTCCAGTAATTGTTGAAGCTTTTCTTCAGCTACAAATAAATGTAAAAATACCGTTAAATAAATATTAAAAAAGTTTTAAAGCGAAAATCAGAAATAAAACAACTTAAAATAGTGTTAGAAATTATAATTTTTATTGAAATACTAATATCTAATAAAGTTTATAAAATTTAATAAAGCATTAATTTTTGTTATATGCGAATTGCCAACTATATTAAATTTATTAAAGTTGGCAATTACTAGTTTTTTAACATTCCTGTATTTCAATAACTTACGCCATTTTATCTAATCTATTACAATTTTATAATAGTTAATAAATTTCGCTGTGTTGTGCTGTGCTGTGTATGCCGTAAAAAAAGAAGAAATTATTAAAAAAAATTTATTTAAAATAAATGAAAAATAATTAAAACCTTAGAAATCTATAAATTGAGTGTTGTTATAAGTTATTGAATAAAATTTGCGCGGGAATTACATGTTTAATAATTATAAAATTGCTTTTAAATGCTGGACCTCAAAAAAATAAAACGCAGGCCTCATTGGCCACCCGCAAAAAAAAAAATACAATAAGTAAATTGTTTGGAAAATGTGTGTTTAATCAAGATGTATTAATCAATATTCCTTGTATTTAATAAAATAATAATCTTAAATTTAATATGAAAACATTAGAAAATTGGAAATATATTAGCAATAAATATTTTTGGTGATTAAAAAGCAAGCCATATTAAGTGTTGTTTTTGTGAGACAAGTTTGTTCTTTTTGTGTTCTTTTATAAAAAAATAGAATGCATATTCGCCTTGAGTTAATGATTTGTATGCCACGGCGAATTTATTAAGTTGTTTTGTTTTGCTTTTGTAGTACAGATTCATTAAGAAAAAAATCATAACAAACAAAAATCATTAAAAAAAGAGAAAAAAGTGCAAAAACGTGTTATATATATTTTTATTGTTTATTTGTTTGTAAAGAGGTTATTCTCCTTTTAAAGAATTTGAATAATTTGTAAAAAAATTAAAATATTTTTTTATAAATATTAAAAGTTTTGCGCCAAAGGAAAAGGGTAAGTTGTTTCCTTATTATAAAAATAATTGCGAATAATTTTCATAAAACTTTATAAACGATATTAATAAAATTAAACTAATTCCAATTGACAATAGTGTTAACAGTTAATTGATACCATATTGTTAAATTTCAAAGTTTTTCATAGTGCAATTTAACTCGGAATACGAACCTCTGCAGAGAAATAAAGAATCTAACAACCATGTCAACATTTCCGAGAAGTTATCGGAGAATTTGATCTAACTACAACATCATACCAATGTATTGATCTTAATCTTAAAAAGTTATTAATGGTTTATTTTTGTATTGGAAATGTGCTTAATAAACTAAAAATATACATATAATCTGTATGAATACATAGAGAAATATATGTATAATTTAAATTTCAGCCAAGATATGTTAGGACAGACATTCATGATGATATATAAGAAAATAGTTGCGGTTCGTCCCAGTGCCGTAAACATTTGGTATTATTGTAAATTGAAATTTTCAGGATAATTGGAGGAAATGTGGATAGTACGCTTTATTGTTGAGTATGGTACTTCACATAGGTCGGCCACGTCCGACTATACTTTCTTGTTTGTCTTATTTTCTAGAACTCCAAAAGACGCACAGCTTTATAGATGTATGGCCTTGTTTTGTAAAATGCTTCATACCTTTTTTCTTACAAATCAAAAGATTTATACGTATGTTTTCATAGTTTATAAAATTTTTTGTGTTATTTAGCAGGCAACTATATGTTTAAGCTATAAAAGAGCCTTAATTAAAAGATCTCAAAAGGACGTGAAATATTAAATATTACATATAATTTATATTATAAAAAATTAAATAAACTTAAGTAATCATTAAAGAAAAAATGACTATTTTTTTAGTTTTTTTCACAGATTATTAACTAACGGCCTTATTCATAAAAAAACGAGCTGCTAACTGAAAAGAGCAGTTGTTAGTTAGCAACACATTTTAATTATGGATACGGGCCTAAGAGTTTGTTAAAACTGTTCCACTAGCCTGTAGTTCTTATAATTACCTTATACAAATGATTATTTTCTTAATTACAGTTAATATTTTGGAATATATTTACACGCCACGCGGTACTCCCTTAGTAATTTTAGACAACTATCTATATCGCAATAATCGTGAAAAATATTGGCGTTGTTTTCGTTTCCTGAAATTTAGTTGTAAAGCTCGGCTGATTATAGATGCTTTTGGTTTAATAAAAACTGCTGGCATACATACTCATGAAAGGGAATATGACAAAATTAATTGTGGCAGAAAATTACTCAAATCTTGGAGTAATAGTGCTGAAAAACGGTATAAATTACCAAATATACCAACGAAAGCTTGTAAGCAAGATGTAAAACGTAAAAAAGTTAAGAAATTGCAGCAGCATGAGCAACAACAACAGCAGCAGCAAGTATATGCTCAACAAGAAGAACTGCAAATCAAAAAAGAAGAACCTGACGATGAGTGTATAGCTATGAATGTAACTAAATAAACTAGTAGTTTATAGCGAAAATTGCGTGCGACTGCGTTTTAAATCTGATAAATGTGGAACAAAATAATTTTTTTAGGAAATTATTACAATTTTTCACAAATATTAGCAATTTTTTATGGCCTTAAACGATTGTTAATGTTAGTGAATAGAAATTGTAGTAAAATTATCAGGAATTTAAAATATCTTTAGTATTTTCTAAGATAGGTTTGATTGAATTTTAAGATTTAAAAATTTTAGAACATAAGATGGCATTTTTGAAAATGAGTTGGAATTCCCAAGATCTAGAGTTTATTTTAAAAACTTTAAACTTTTTTTTAACATAACTTTAAACTTCCTAACATATTCTGTATTGTATTGCAGTCAGTTAATAGAAGTCAGTTATAAAAAAGAAATAAAAGCCCAGCTTAAAATAGTTACAATTAACAATAAAATAAATGTTTAAAACTGAATTTATTAAAGTGTTTTCTTTCTAAAACTAATAACAATTAAAACATCTCCCATCAATACAATTCAACTAATTCTTCAACTAAAATACTTACAGCTACTTCTACAGATAAAACTATACTTTCGTCAAAAGCCAATTATTTCATGTTACCTTTGCCCATTGGTGTGTGGTTGGAAAACGAAACCTATCATTATATGCGCAATCAAAAACAGGGCCTAAATCTTATATTCCGTGGTTATATGTACAAAAAAGAAGCCAGTTTTCGTTCCACTATCAATTGGATCTGTTCCAGCGGTAATGGTAAACGTGTATCAGAAAATAAATGTACTGCTAGATGTATAACAAAACTGGAAGGTGGCTTGAAATTGGGAAAGAATCCGCACAACCATCCACCAAAATTTACCGAGGATGCACTGCCCGCTAACTTAATAAAGATAGATGGTCTTTTGCCACAACGTTTAAAATTGTTTTAGAAAACAAAACATTGCCACTAAAATTCGCAGATAATTTATATTAAATTAATGTATATAATATTAACTATTAATAAAAATAATAAGTTTTAAATAAATGACTAGACCCGTTAAATAAAGTAGCATTTAATTTACTTAGTTGTTTACTTAAATCTTAAAATTG